ATAACAACTTACAAAAAATTTAAGAGATTTAAATCTTGGAGGAAAATTCCATTCAAAGAGATTATACGATTATAGCTAATATCTCTACCAGATTAAAATAAAGGCGTTAGATTCTGCATACAATATCTTTATGATATATCTATTGAAGGAAGGCCCGAAACCTACAGAGTAATCAACTTTGATAAACCAAGAAATGATCGATTTTCTATAACTGTAATTTGGTTATGGTCTAACATCCTTACGATAAGTTAGTAAAACAATAAAATTAGGAATAAAGTTAAATGCAGTTCACACTAAAGAGATAGCATGTCGTAGTAAAATGAAGAGAATAACTAAATAGCTCTATTAATACATTTCAACTTACAGGTATTGCATATTCTTACATCCTTTGAATATGTCATTTATAAGAGATTCTAGCTTGTTGTAGCTCAAAAATCTTATTCAATTATTCAGAGAAATTACTGTTAGATATTATAAATACCTCACTAGCTATAAATATACATATCATGTAATCTAGGGTCTAAATTTTAGGAAATATTCCTAAATATCAAATCTTACAAATGCGTTAAACTGCTGAAATTTTTAAATTGGCCAATTTTCAAGTTCCTTATCCGATTTTTGGAAGCTGATCTAAACATATTTCATATTATAGTATCATATTTTAATTATAATTAAACCAATACGAGTAATTTGAATGATTTATTTAAAATGAAAGAATGCCACGAATCGAGTTTCAAATATACATGAATAGCCGTTACGGCTAAAGCCCGAAATCCAGCTATTGTGTATGCACGATTTCAGATACCATTAGTGAAATCAAGTCTACAAACGCCAATGCTAATACAAACTACCTCTTACTGACTTAGAGATGTAAGAAAGGTCAACTTTTAGAATTTTCCTTCAAGTTCTTGTATTTTAACTATTCTAGCTTAGTTTTTGTATCATAATAAGTATTCTTGCTTTAAAAATATGAATTATTTGGTTGATTATAATAGTAGATTTTATTAAGTATCTTGTTATATTGTAAACTCGACTGCTGTATTCAGGTTAGAAGTTAATATAATCCGTAGCATAATTTTTGTTAAGAAACATATATTATAATTTTGTAATTCAAGCGATGTATTTAGTTAATATAATATATGTGTGCTAATTTTGATCATTAATTACGGTAAAAGTTGATGTTACTTTGTAATTTCATACAGTATGAACCTAAAGCACTTGATCTCGGATTGCTATTTTGTCATAGTGTATATTGCAGAAATGTGCAGTTTCAAGCTAAACTATATTTAGTATTAATTTAGTAATTTTCGGGAGTCTAGGGTACAATTTATCTTATCTTGTGTGTTTGATTACTAGCTTAATTTGGAGTACTTTAGAATGATAGTTGGACAGTCGAATACCACCAACTGCTCTGCGTAACATATAAAAAATGGCATAGTTCGGTAAGTTAGTGAGAAGATAAGAAAAGCTTAGGATAATCATGAGTCATCTCATTAATTGATGGTTTGGTTGGTTGTGGTAGTAGTTCTGCCCGTATTTAGTTGCTCATTTGAGAAGTTTCGCTAAGATTGTTGTTAAAGTTATAATAAACTGGTGTTTTTCCCTAGTTTATTTTGTTTGGACTTCAGTCGTTGGCAGTTTAATTTAATTTCGTAAGTTTTTTTGGACGAACAATACTACTGAGACATGATTAGCTATATGAACAAATAGATCGGTTCTAACATTCGAATACTATATTATAGTTATAGCGTCACTGATAATATCCTACAAGAGCATACAAATACCAATTTCAATTAATGTTGGTAACTGCAATTAGTATTAACACAAACTTACAGTATTTTCAGGTAACGCAACGGTTTCACAAATTCCAGTTTATCAATACGATTGTTATGAATTATCCTGATCAAACAATGAAAAATAAATTTTATAAAAGCTTTAGTAACTTTCGTTTCTATAATGTACAGTAAATTAGGGTATAACTTTATTTATAGCAAACGTTACTATACAGTGCATGTTCATTGAATGTATTTTAAGAAGTAAAAGCCAATATTTGTAAATGTTACGATTTAAATAGCAATTACAGCATTCCATTAATAATACTTGCCATTAGACAACAATTTTGACTAATTCAGAAAAGAGGTTCATTCATAATAACTTGCTAACAGTCATTAAGTAGATTTTTAAGCACAGTAAGAAGATCGCTCTTACTACTGGGCTAGAATCAATTCATTATAGGTACTAGTAGTGCTTTGCTTTCTTTATCTGTTGCTACTTACAATTCTTTTAAGCTTGAAATCGAATTAAATAAGTCGGGTTCGATATTTTCTAGACGATTATTGGAAATATTTCTATCATCATAAGCCACAAAGTAAATTAAGAACAGGCAGGAGTTGCAAGGTACGATGAATATATAGTAATAAAGTGCGTGCATACAGAGCTGAGAGAATAGTTGGGTCTTGCAATGAAGAGAAAATATCGGTTTGCAACTTAGTAATTCTGTTTTGGCTGATGTCGCTGCAATATAAAAGCAACGTTTAACTGAGGATTAAATTAAAAATTTTAATTGAATATAAAGCTAGTTGCATTGGCATGAGAGTAAAAGAAAAATCTCGTATTGAACTTACTATAAATTAATTAGGATTATGTTATGTACTATTTAACTATGCACTGTTTATTCTCATTAATGTCAAGATCAATATATCGAAATAGATTTTATAAACGTATTATCAAGAAATGAGATGACAAAAGTCTGGTACTCTAGGCCATGGCTATAGTTTTTAAATTAAACGCTGTCACAATTTCAACTCTGCAACAAGGAAATATACAATAAAAGTCTATAATTAACTACTGACTTAAACGCCCTTTTACTAAACGTTAAACACTCAGAGCGAAGTACCTTAAAAAAAACTTTTATTAGCATAGACACATCTACAACTTTTTATCACAGAATTCAAGGCAAACGTTCCGGTTTATATAGGAACCGTCTTATTTGTAAACAACAACAGTATTATTATTATACCCAGCTAGGAGAGACATCTCCAACTGAGATGCTCCTTATATAGCTTTTCTATCAGTAAATATTTTAATCTCTTACTCATGCCTAATCCTAACCTAAGCATGTATGTTGTCTAATTCAATAATCATTAGCTAGAACTAGAATCATCTTACTACTATCTAAACATAATCACAATCAATATTAAATATTTAATAAAATATCAAAAATAATATTCACGTAATAGCATTACTTATCTTACATAGCACTACAAATATGGATATTATTCATATAAGCTACTACTGCACTATTACAATATCCTAACGTTAAGGTAAATCAACACTTTGTTTGTTATGATGATGTCAATACACTGCTAATATCTATTTTTTACATATTATAACTGTGACTGTAAATGAAACGCTGAACAAGGAAATTAATGATTTGCTTTCAAACACCAATTGCTATTTATGCGTATAATGAACCTGTCAATATACATATTTGCATAAAAAACCATTATTACCATTGATTTCGATTATATCTAATCGACTTACATAGATGAAACGCAGTCAATGTTGCGGAACGATAAACTTTTATCACTGGCAAACCTGTTATTAAAGATATTACTAAAAAAGAGATTACTTCAGTTAAATTTCTGCGTAGCGCCTAAGTAATATTCGATAATCAGGTAAATCAGCTAAGTATAGGTATTCATCGGTCGATAATAATACATCAAATTTAATTAGTTTAAGAGGAATTAAACTGATTTATAATATATAAATAGTCATAAAATTACATATGTCGCAGGCATTGAAAGCATCTAGGAATTTGGAACTCTTCCAATAGATTGTTTGATAAATCTCTAATTCCAAGAATGATAGATACAGATATTAAATGTTCTTACTTTTGGATAACAAGCATTCCTATTGTAATTAGGGCTGTTTATAAAATTTTCTTAGCGTGCTATACAGTGCATAATTAAAATCATAGCATTCCGATCTAATGCTAGTCGTGATTGACATTACGAGATCGTACTGACTTACATTTTGTAAATATCATATGTAATATTAGATAAGCATGCCATGCTGAGCCGTCGCATTTTATTTTTTGATAATCCACTAGCAAATTGACGATGATATAAGTTGTGATAATAGAATTATGTGTATTATATGATTTTGCTAATTTGTTCGATTAATATAATTAATACATTAATGGCTGTAATTCCATAACTTCTTACACATGCTGAAGAATTTTAAAGATACCCAAAGGTAGATCAGCTACTTGATATAGAAGATTTCCATCGAGCCGTCTAGGGTAATAAAAGTCAATAGAAGAATTAAATCGTAATTCAGTTTCAACGTCGGTAAATCTATTTAAAAGCTTGTCTAATTTCTCACATTTCTTTCATATTATTCAAGCCGTAAAAGGCATCAGGTTGGATAAATTCGATTCTGTTAGATCTTAAATACCTAATGTTTACAAAAAATAATGTTAGATGAACAAAACTGTTTTCCTATGACCATCTTTTGTATTGCATGGTTGAATAGTACAATAAAAACTCACAGAAATTCTAATGTCGATAAATTAGCAAATTGAAAATCCTGAATTACTTTTAATTGGTTCTCATCCATTAATCTACAATATATTGATCCATCAAAAATACAAATTAGTGATAAGCGAAAGTAAATAAATATCTAATGTCGTTTCCAATAAATACATTCAGCTCCTTTATTTTAAAGGTATTTTTTCAATTTAATGCATTGATTATGTTCATTTAAACAATACGCTATCAAAAACGAAGTAAATTCATAAGCTGTCATGTCCAAACTTACAATATCAGATTTAATACCTACAAGTATGTTAAACTTAATAGTCTATGAAAGATAGTCCGATTTAGGGAGGTGAGATAGTTATTATTGATGTGTCTACCCAGCATTTAAAAAATTAAATATTCCAAATTTAGCATTTGCATACAAAGATCGAATTTATTATTACTAAGTTCTAAATTATATCAAGTAAAATCAATTTCCTCTCGTGTGAATCCAAATAAATATAATTCACTTTGGGTTTGTTTATGGCGTTCATACAAATTAGTTAGTGCATCCAAGCCAGTAAATGCTTCTTCATCAATTCCATCGATTTCATTAGAAGTTAAGTACCTATATTGAAATAGAAGCAATCAAGCAATCAATATTTTCTACATTTTCTTATTTATGATATAGTAGTTTCAATAATCAATTCTTTACCATAATATTATTAAAAAGGCCGCACTAGTGTGATAGAGAATGTATTTACATTCTCTCCCCGTTATTGTGATCTTATTATAACTGATTTTAGACAGTACAACAAATATTTGCAAATAATTTGATATCAAAGTAAGAACGGTACTTCACTAAAGCTTTCTGTAAGCATAATGAGGCGAAGAATCGCTACTTACAGCTTTTTCAGAGACACAAGATGATTGAACCCATAGTTTTCCAAATATTTAATCTTGTTTTGATTAAGATTTCTAGAATTATTAATATTATCTATGAGATAAATGATTTAATATTGGCTTCTTAAATTATCGCATCTAATTTTACAATGACTTGCACAGTGTGATACATTAGTCAACAGTTAATGGCAACATATCCATAGGAATGGAATGCTGACTTATAAATGGAATAGTTCTCATCATGATTTAAAATTTGTGATTCACTGTAATACAGCCACTTTCACAAGCTACTATTATAAGGTGATTTTTCTGATGTTAGAGTATACAATTTATGTCTAAATTTTATTTCATGTAGAATATTGCATAATAAATGAACCTAGACTCACTTAAAATATAGTAAAACAGAGAGGTACTGCAATATCGTATGAATGTATTTATTTTTAACGGGTATTTATAGCTTTATCGTCTTAGCTGAAATCGATATTAAATTCTTATAGTTATAATTATTTCAGCGCAATACTGGCGTGAAGCAACTACTCATAAGTTGCAGTAGCAATTTACATATATATATATAACTTTTTATTAGTGACTTTTATTAGAAAGCAGCAGCTAATATGCTAATCAGTTAATTGTATGATATTGAGCATGTTAGTTTTTGATTAAATCTGATTTCAATGATGAAAATTTAATCGGTTATTGTTGATCATTAAAAGTAGAACAATCTAGGATAAAGTCGTTATAGCTCTTATTTTTTATGATGAACATTAGGCAATTTTTTACTTACAATTCGTCCAAGCTAATAAGAGATTCAAAGGTGTTGAAATTCAAATATCGGATGTTATTTGAATTTAATTTTCTAAAATATATTGTTAAAATACATTAGTTCATAAGATATTTTTGAAATATTGGTTATTTCAATGAATGAATGATTAAGAATTTCAAAGTTACTACGATAGAACTTAAAATTACAGAATTTTCAAACTATAAAGTCCGTAAAAGGCCATTTCGTCTATGGTATCTATCAAGCTGCCATTGAAATACCTAGATCATGAATAGTTTTATATTTAGTCGCTTGTATTTTATTGTGGTACTAGAATATCTCAAGAGAATACAACCGATTCAAAATAGCTATTTTCTAAGCAATTTTTTCAATATGATCGTAAAGTATGCATGGATTCATGTAAGTCAGAAATAAAAATACGATAAATCTTTGTTGCGCTGCCTTTATGAATTTGTTACGTGATTTTTCGCAATCGCTGAAATTTAAAAAATGACATACTTACAGTCTTTCCAAAGTCATTTGCTTTTGGGAACCAAATATATAGGGTGGCAAGACGCGTATGAAGGTAGAAGACAAATTTCTGTGATTTAACAGATAGAAAATAATCTTAATACTTCAAAATTCTAACAGTAAATTAGCTATATATCATAACATGGATATTGCTTTAATATTTTTAAGTTTTTTGCAATTTCTAATTGTTTTTGCCTAAATATGGGTATTATTCGATAGCTAGGATAGAAGCATGTAGTTTTTTGTAACTTTAATTGACTGAATTTTTTTAATTCTTAAAGTAAGACTGATAATATTATTGCCAATTCATGATAATTTACGATATATACCATTTAAATTTATATTTTTAGAATTAAGAAAATGTGGTCTTACATTATTTTCATAATATCACAGTTAGAAAAAGCACCAGAGAACAACACTGTAATTTTGCAGCTACTAAGATCTCTTAAGAATAATAAATCATTTCATAATTTTAGATTTCATTTTCATGATAATAAGATCTGTAATTAATGCATGATCTAGAAAAATTAATATTTCTCAAATTATTATTTTCCACTTACAAAGATTCTATTTTAGTGTTGTTTAAGAATAAGTATGTTCCAATTTTATTAAAAGAGCAAACTCTAATCTCCCTGGATATGAAAACATACAAAAACTTATGTAATCAATACTCCAAAATATTAATTACAATTATTACGATCTATAATACTTTAAACTGTTTCATTACTAACAACTTCTTTAAATTGGCAACATAAGAAAATGTGGTGTCAGAAACTTGTGCAACTCCATTCCCTGATAATTCTCTTCAAAAAATTTCATGGAAAATTTCATATCAGAATCTTTCTAAAGTTCTTCTAAAATTTAATAAAATTTGTGTAATTGTAAATTTTTTCTTACATTCTGCTTAGTAACGGAGATCCGACAAAAGCTGCTGAGCTAATATGGCCAATATAATTATCGGGAATTAATCTAAAATGTTGAAATTTGAACAAATTTGACCTATCAATAAATACTTCCACATGAAGCGCATTCCACGTCATAAAATGAGACTTACAGCTCTGACAATAATGGCAAGTTGCTAAAGATACGATTACTGATAGAGAGCAGTTTATTTCGGGATATATCACTATTATACATAGGATGACAAAATATTATTTCTTTAGTTGTAATCTTTTCGTTTGTGGGTACTATTAGTATCTGCCTTAATCTTCATTGCATCGTAAATTGATATCAAAAAATTATTAACTTTGATAACGGCCTTATCGAATAGTACAATAACATTAAGGTATAAATATATACTGTAATTACACTGTACTGTAGGTTTTTTCTGTACGCTTTGTACCAATATTGTAGTCAAATTATGTTTAGCTAAAATTTAGCTTGAATTGCATAACAAGATCTGTCTAACATAAGTGCATAGATACTTTGGTAATAAATTGAGATTATCTATACAGCATATATGATTATGGTATTGTCACAAACAGCTTTGCAGCAAGATAACGTAATGTACGATTGTCACGGTACGAACTACCGTGAAGAAATAGCTATCTAAATTTGGTTAATATAGTATAGTGATATTATATACAACTAGTTACTTACAATAGGAATTACTCTAATTATAAATGTGTTACAGTAAATTTATTGCTGTGCTGTAATGTGTGCTGAAATGATTCTGTGAATGGACTATTGTAGTCCGACTGTGAAAAACTAGTTAGAAGATGTTCTCACCCAAGTATTATTATAAGATGACTTGTGAATGTTAGCTGCTGTAGAAGGGTATATAAACCCGTCAGATAGTTGAATAAAGCAGTTCTCAATTGTATAGTTGTTTTAACGTAGAATCAAAGGCGTCTAAATTCTTGTAAGTAGGGATACTGAATCCCGGAGACTATAGTAATTTAGAGATTTGTTTTACGTTATACTTGTCACGAAGTTGATTTGTGACAACGATCAATAAGTCAATTCCTTGATCTACGTATCAAGGAACGATATCTACACTATCAGAAACACTTTTACTCTACTAACAGACCACTTAAAGACTTAGATCAGTCGTATTTTACGTTAAACACTAAGTTTAAGAATCCACTTTATTACACGATATACTGCATTTATATACTCTTAATAGTTTATGAGTCATAGTTAGTACGATTAACTTTGGAATTGTTCACTGAATAAGAGATTAGTTTTAGCTACTGCTCCTTAATACAGACAACATTATTTACGAACATAGACATCTGATGACTAATACAGAATAATCAGATTACGATATGTCCTATCACGAGGTATTGACACAATAATAGTCTCAGGTATTATAGAAAATATTAGCTAAAGAAATCTCAATTTATTGTTCTACACTACAACGTTGAGAATAATATTACTACATATCCATGAAAAGCAACGTATGTATAAATAAATGCATGCATTTGAAACCATTCGAATTTAGTCGAATGTAAAAATAGTAAGTTATGTACCGGCTAATATTAATTAAATATCTTGCTCGTATTTTATGCTAACATGAAGTTACTAAGTACGTTACTTACATAAATCTTAGATTGTTTAGGTTAGCAAATGATCCTGGTTTTATGAGTGAAATCTCATTATCGAAAAGGTACCTAATGTAGAAGAAATCATATATTTTATCTTTATATATATTTCTAAAAAAATATATTTGCAGCTATAATTTAAAGAAATCTCCTAGCAGTACTGCTCATTTAAGAAAAAATTAGTTGAATTTAATAAATTGATATATAATAAAATTGACTGCATTACAAGCCCTGTAATCTTTGTAATCCATGAAAAGAGTAGGTTCGGATAACTTTTAGGTTGTTTCCATACAGTTCACTATCGAAAACAGCAACGAGTTTGAAATAAATTTCATCAGGCAATCAATCAATAAATTAAGAAATTTGTCATTTCGGTTCAATTTCCGTATTTAAGAAATTAAAATTATAAACTCACAGAGTGTGAACCTCAGACATTTCGGAAAATGCAAAGTCTCGTATATCAGGAACGTCGTTAGTTCCTAGCTTACTACCATTTTCACGTAATTATAAACACTGTAACATGAATTTATATAAAGTACAATAATTGAAAGCAGACTTACATGGATTTTGTTGTTTTAACTTTGGAAATGTACGTTTCGCTGATATTTTTGATAATATTATTAGCTAAATCTCTGTGTAACCGGAAAAAGATTTAGATTTGAATTTCTCTATTATTTTTTTAAGTATGAAACCGATGCTCTTAGTTATTTTAATGAAAAAGACTACCAGGAAAGCTAAGTTTTTGATAGCCATAATTATTAGAAACTGTACACTCTAGAAATGCTCCATTACTAAGCATTCATCAATATCGATTGGATATATAATAACTACACAAATTAATAAAAAAACTTGATCAACATGCAATGTTGACGTGAAGGCATGTACATACGAGTATTACTACAATTCTCATTTTCCAAAGTGATAACAATTTTTTATACGAATATCGGAAAATTATAGTATTCTCTACAATAATTAAACTTAGAAAATATTTCTAGTTTTATAGCCTTTGAATAAGTTAGGATAAAACCCTAGGTTGTGTCTTCATATCCGATCCTACTATAAAAATTCTCAAGGTACATTTACTTACATATCGTGCAAGTATTGTAGACCATCCCATACCCCTTGGCTAACGCTTTCAATTAAATTTGCGTATAAGCGTCTGAATACAATACATAGAATCGATTAATTAATACCTACATATTTGAAGTATTATAAAATTTAAGCAGCTATTGCAAATTAATGATACAAGTGTATTGTAGCTGCTGATATAAAGTTAGCTATTGAAGCCAATTAAACGTCGTACATAGTCCTTAATTTAGGAATATTTCTAAATACTCCGCTGGGTATTGCAGCTATTCTGTTTCGCGATAGTGACCTAACAATTTAAATATATTTACAGCTTTATTCGAACTAAAACAGAATGGAGTCAGTCAAAACGAAAATTTTAATCTGCTAGTCCTTTATAGATGTTTATAAATCAAGCTTACAAAGTGGTTAACCGATTAAGACCCATAAAGCTAATATTTCGCAGGTTATGAATTTCGTTTTTGGATAATTGTCTATAAATAAATCAATGATATCAAATAGAATGTATTAGATTTAAAGAAGATTTTATATTTCTAATCATCAAATAACCAAACTATCTATACTTTATAATCGCAGATTAATAAATTATGGAGTATAAACGAAAAAATATCAGCGTATAAGTATATTTTGACCTTTTTACTTTATTAAGTCTAATAAAAAAACATTTTAATGTTTCATGAAAATTCCTAAATAGCCATTCATACGGATAAATCATTTTTGATAGTTGAGAATATTACGAAACATCTTAAAACATAAATTGTCCAATTATCCGTATCTATTAGCTAACATGGTGCCGGTTGGGATTAGTCAGTATTCTATTTGATTCGTAATATATGTAGTGTATAAAAGCAACTGAAGCAGGTATCGTTTGAGCATGTAGTTAGCCTGTTTAACTATTTTTATTAATGAAGCTATGGAAATCTGTCTTGTGCATAAGTATTATTATATTATTAGAAATATTATTTTCGTAATCATATAGTTAGTATATTATTATTATTATTATCTGTTCTATAGCTGTGCCTAGTAGCTTATTATGATATCCTATGTGTGGTTAATGATGTCAATTAGTTACCTAATACTAAACAGGACGTACTGGGCAAGAGCTTTAACTATAGTTACTAATATTGCATTTAAATTTACGATTTGATATTTATATCACTACAGCAATATTGTAGTGTAAATTGTAACTGCTTAGGTTAATGATTATAATATCGTAATAATGTACAATACCTTATGGTAGTAAAATTAGAAATAAAACTCACAAAAAAGCCGATTAAATAGAGCTTTAAATCAATGCATTTGATTTATTAAAACTTACAAGTTTGATAATTTGCTAAGTGGTTCGAAAACCCCATTTACAATTAAAGATATTCTATTATTTCTTAGGTGTCTGAAGCAATCAAATAGAATAAAAAATGATTAAACCCAGTCATTGCATTAAAAGCACAAAATTTTTTTGTTATATTCTTTCTTATATCTAATCAAACGATCAAGCTATTGTTCCAGAACTATAACTACATCTATGCTGTTTAACCTCGGAATTGTATCATACTTTTATTAATACACAAAATATCTCATTGAAGATGTTATCAGCAAGACTTATATTACAGTAAATAATAATTAAGTGATTAATAGTATGATACAAAAAATGGTATTACTATATTTAAATAATAAAAGCAATGTGAAATAGTAGTAATTATAGCATGGAAATGCTAAAATACAATTCATGCTGTTCATATAATCGATTTTGCAAGCAATATTCGAAATTACAATTTAGCTCTCCATAGCAATACATATACCGTATATGATATCCACTTTATCATACGAGTAGTCTGATAAAATGTGAACCGTTAAGTTTACTAATAATTAATAGTTAAATTGTCCATCCATATCAATAGCTTATTCGGCATCAACCTTTAACAGTCTAATCTAATGATTATCACAAATAATTATCAGTAGTTTTCGTTACTTACAGATTTTCCAAATTTATTAATCCTTCGAAAGTTCTTTTAGAAGTTAAAGTATTCAATAAATTTTCACTTAAGCTCCTGTAAAAGTAGTATACAACTAAATAACAGTGTTCAAATCCTATGATATTTTCAGAAGAACCAAAAGCAATTTAAATTACGCAATTTACTATCTCATATATTTAAATAGAAATATTACATTACAACAGAGCGATGATCGAATGAGAATGTTGTCTTATGAAAACTTACAGCGTTTCTAATTGATTTAAGTCTGCAAAAGCCCCATCCTCAATTTTTTCTATGTTATTTTTTTCTATGTCTCTAATGTATTGAAGAAAGTGTTCTTATTTATTTTATCGCTATAAGTTGTGTAATAATTAAGCCTCTTGGAATTTATATGTTGTCTAACTATCCTATTTTTACTTTGTCATGGAATACTCCACTAAACCACGAGATACCCTCACTTAGTATGATTTCTCAGTTATAGCGCATAACATACGTATTTAGGCTAAATTACATTAAATATCATATAGTGAATAATATTCAACTAAGTTAGAGAAAATAATTGTAAAATGGAATAATCTAGAACTTATCATTAGCATATGGAATCTATTTATAATAAAAAATATAGTCAAAGAGTTTATGCATTAGCTAAATATCTCTATTTAGCTTACAAATTTGTCAAGCTAGATAATCCTTGAAACATTCCTGCTGATAAAGAGCTCAATAAATTTTCGTACATCACCCTGTATAAGTTATTAGTAAGAAAACTAAGTCTTAGAAGATCTTTTAACAAAATATAGCTGCAAGTCACTTAAAAATGACTATTATAAGGTCATGCTTTCAAAGTATAGTTTTCTCAACTATCATTTACAAGAAATTAGATAGAATAAAGTAGGTAAGTTTACAGTATTCCACGAAAACTTACAGTTTAGCTAATCTAGGCAAGCTCGCAAAAACTCCATCTTCTATTTTTACCAATCTATTACTTTCTAAATACCTATGCAAATAATCAGTCGTATATCAATTTCCTGCTACGTTTAATTTTCATCTTCAATCATTCAATTGATACTGTTTTCATGTATAATTTTTATGCAATTGTCAACGAAATGCAGTAGGTGCAGTAAGCATATTTATTATTAATTTATATCTAAATGGATTTTAAATACTACTGCACTGTTCATTTGTCAATTTTTATTTGTAGTATTCGATTGCATAGCTTACAAATATTCCAAGTTCGACAATCCTTCAAATATTTTGGGAGAAGTTAAATCATTTAATAAATTCTTTTCCAACGAACTGTAAAATAAAATGATACAAAAATATTTGAATCAGTCATCTACTACGGATGAATACGAGGTAATTTCGTCAATTTCAAAAGAACCAAGTATATATTATTAATTAAGTATTCTTTGGGAATTCGTAGGTAACTTACAGCCACTCTAAAAGATGTAATTTCGAGAAAACTCTATCTGAAATTCTTTCTATCTTATTGTCTTTCAGTCCGCTAAAAGAAATTTATTTCAAGTCATTTTCAAATGATACGAAATCGATACAGAAAGAATCAGAGTTAAGATTGTTATTGTACTATTAAACACCGTGTGATAACCGAATGATGAGCATCATTCTGTCAGCAATTATGTGTTTTAATAAACTGTTTTAGTCCAATTAGAGTATACTAGTAAATTCATTTTAGTGGTATAAGGAGTACAGTATTGGAAAATGCTTTACTGATAAAGATAAGCGTCTTAATTTTGTTGTTATCTACAATACTACGAAATAACTTGTAGATCTTTACAGATTTAAATAAATATAACTTTCAATCGTTACGCTTTCATATTGCATAAAAGCTTGAATATATTTAAAGATTTTATACGGAATTTCTAGAAATGATAAGCATCCTAGATAGTATCGTCTCATGATACTGCAGTAAAATTAGCTCATTTTATTTCTTATATTCGCTTAATTTTAGCTAAGATTAGTTGCACAGTCTGTAATATAATATCAGAACCGTCTATACGCTAATATAGTAATAACATTGCAATTATTGAATAGTTGATAAAACAGAGTCACACACCACTAGTGACAAAGTAGTCTACACACGCCAACCCTTGCGGAGAACGCCACTTACTAACTTAAAGAGGCGAGATTAGCTATATCACCAAATAATTCAGTTCCAACGACCGAATACTATGGTATAATTATAGCGTCACAGTTAATGCAGACGAGATAGTCAGAGATTTACTATCATTTATTACTGAAGGAATCTTGGCACCCAAGATTATAGTCTTTACAATTAAATATCAATTGAAAAACTAGTTGACTATCTAACCGACTAACGAACTAAAACGGAATCTTCAAACAGATAGCTATATTTAGCAGTTCCTCATTAAACTGCTAATGTTATAGATTTGGAATCTAAGTAATTATGTTTCAAATCTTTTCAAATTCGATATTAATTTTGAACATCATAATGATTTAGATATTAATGTGAATGCATCATTTAAGCTACTAATAGGTATTCGTTTGAACTCGGTGAACTCTAAAAACTTTCATATCAATATTATCTAATTTCATTAGAAGACTTTCTTCAAATTGTAATGCCATAGAGGCTAATTAGAGCTCTATCGCACCTAAATAGCAATAACTTACAGTATTCGTAAGTTCTGCAAATCCATAAATGCTGCGTCGTCGATCTTTTCTATCCTATTTGTATTTAAGTACCTAAAAGATAAAGAAACTTCTCAATTTTCGATATTATTCTTATTCTGTATTCTTTGCTGAGATATAATACACAAATACAAATAACACTTGCATTGCTATAAGTATTCTATCTAATGTAAAAAAATTATATAAATAAGATAATCCTTAACTATCGTATCTAACTTCAGTTGTTACAACACTTAGTTTGTAAGGTTAACATTCATGCTAGGATCATATATCATACGATAATTATTTAATACACGTGTATATTACCGATTAGCTAAACATCTTTTAAAACAAGATACTCGAACGACTAGGTACTTATTTACTCTCACAGTCTGTGGTTCTAGGGTATTACAGAATAAGTTAGCCTCTCCCTTAGAGTTCACATATATGAGTAGCCTGTCCTTTCGTGTCCATATAATAATTTACAGCAAGACGTAACTTTTTAAGACTGAAAGTATCAATAATGCTAATCTAGCACCGATAAAATTAGCTTTAAGCCGACTGGATTACTTTTCACGTTTACCATAATATTTTACAATGCAATTCAAAGACATTATATTACGATGTAATGCGAAGTATCTGGAGATACTTATACCTTATGATGCATTGTTACAATTTAATTAGCAATGAAAAATTCTTTTGATTTATTATAGCCGAAGCTCTAAAGCCCAAGTAAGCACTTATAACGCTTTAAAGATCATAATACTAGGCAGCTTACAAATATTTTAATTTGTATAGCTCTTTGAATATATGTGAAGAACATATAGAGTCCAACAAATTTCCATTTAAGGATCTGGAATAATCATTAATAAATTGTTACTTAAAATTATGAATCTTCAATTGATTGATTTAAATACTTCATCATAACTTATCATCAATAATATCTTAGAAGAAAAGATTTTAAAGGCTATGCAATAAGAATTAAAACAGAATTATTGTATCTCGTGAAAACCTACAATTTTGTCAAATTTTGTAAGCCTGCAAAAATTCTATCACCAATCCTTTGAATCTTGCTGCTTTCTAAGTCTCTTAAAGTGTAAAAGATAATTCCGTAACTTTAAGCCCCTTTTACTATCACTTGATAGCAATTTTATACCTACAATATAATATTATAAAACTAAAAGTATTTATATTTCAATATGTACAATAGAATAGCTTACAGTGTTTCCAAGTTTGATAATCCCTCAAATATTCTCGGATAAGTTAAAGAACTGAGTGAATTCTTATATAATTTCCTAAATTCGCCATTTGCATGAATTTATTCGAAAAATGAAGAATAACGAATTATTCCAAACATAAATATACTTGAGCGATTGATTAGTTAAGTTATGAATTGAGGTATAACTAGTTCATGTAAAATTTTAGGTTATGATTAGAAATTTGTCCGTAGAACAATAAGGAATTGTTCATAAATAAAAATTTTTGAGTTATTGATAAGTCTGCTGTGAATAAAGTTATAACAGCAAATTTAAGTAAAATCCAGCAAATTGATTAGAAATCTGTTTGTAGACTGAAAAAGAGAGTGAACGGACAATATCAATAAAACAAGTATTTAATCAAGGAAAAATATAATCAAATCATATTATCTACTTATGTTCCAATCTTTCTCAAGACAAAATGGTCGATACACAATTGCTCTTCTTTTATGATAACTTACAGGCTTTTTAGCTTTGGCATAGTTGCGAAAATTCTATCTCCAATCGTTTCAATTTTATTTTGATACAAATCTCTAAGAAATGAAAGATAGAATTTACAGTAGTGTTTACTTCTAAGTACGGTATAGTCCAATTTTAGTAAAACATTAATTTCCACTAGACTGTGACATAACTCTAAATATGCTTAATTTATATTTAATAATTTAAACTGTGGAAATCTCTTAGACTCTAGCTAGATTATACCGTAGCATAACCCTTGCATAGAAGTAACATATTATTAAGAATCATTCGTGGCTATAAGTAATTTCCTCCTGCTATGCTCTTAACATTATAAAAACTATCTTCTTTCGCCTATCTCATTAGTTAGTTCTGGTAGTTACACGGTAAGCTTGCACGCTTTACCTATCCTGCACTACTATAGTTATTCGAGTAGTCATGTCGTTACTCGCACGATAATCTTACTCGATTATTGTCTTATACTAGCTCAATAAAGATTACTCTTCCATTAACCATTCTTTTGTACTTTATTGCGACTACTACCGAACTCTCAACCTTTCGAAACATAACATTTACAATTCTCTAAGTTGATATATTTTAATGTTTCATGCAATTAGTACTTTTTTCTATATTTTTACCAATAGTGCCACATTAATAATGTATAAAAATTTTAATAAACTTGTTCCATTAAGTATACTCAATGTTTAAATCACAAAAGGATTTATAAGAATAGATTCTACTACTGGTTTTCTACCAAATACAGAAGAAAGCTTTTAGAGTAACAGATACTAGAAATCATGGACTGACAAGTAATTTTACAAGAATACTAGTCACTCAAATGTAAAACTTGACGTGTGTATAACTACTTAGAGGTGGTGAGCAAGACCATCGCAACTAACGTAATTTAGTCGTGCGTCACGGTACGCCGTTACTAATTAAGTAACTGTTGATTAATGAATGCTTCTGAATAGATAATATAAGGTTATGTGCTATGTTTAATGCGCTTGTAGCTGATAATAGGATGGTAGAAATGAGATAAAAAAAGAAGTTGTTAGCAGTTAATTTACTGTAGGTTTATTAGGTGTGTTAATCTCTAAAAATTGAGCCGTATATGGACGAAGTTTAAGCGTTTTAACACCTGATAGCTTGTAGCTATCTAAGTCTGAGAATATCGACATGTATATTTAGTAATGGTATTATACTAATTAATGTAACTTGTAAAGCATGAATTCTCACTCGTTAATATTGGAATTCACTGTAGAAACCTATTTAAGCGCGTGTGTTGTAGAATAAAGTTAGTAATTGCTCAAGAAACGACAAGACTCATATCGTGAAGAATAGTGTAATAATTAGTCAGTTGTCTGTGGAGATCAGCCGAGAAATCGAGTTCTCAAATACTTCTCTCATAGAAACTGAAAGTACTGGGAGAAATAGCCCAAGTTTTAAGTAACTACACTAGAGTTCTTTACTTTCCTTTGCCACAAGTGAGGGTTGTGACAAGTCGATACTTTTATTTTAATGATATCTCTAATATATTGCAAAATAATAACTTATTACTTTTCATCAGCTCTTCACTGTAGAATGAAATATAAATACCAGGAATTCATATAAGAGAGCCATAGCGCAGAAGCACTAGATATCAGTAATACTCAAGTAGTTTCGAAAGGTCTGTTTAATTAAATTATCTAATGTTTATTTTAAGTAATATACTGGCACTAATAATTTTTAAATGTACGCCTAAATTATTTAAAACTTACAGTGATTCCAAATTTGATAGTCCTTTGAATAGTTTTAGGGAGGTTAAAGCAGTCAATAAATTTCCATTTAATTTTCTACATCAATTATTAGTATAAAATCATTCAAAAGCAATTCTACATAGCCAGATGAACTAAGTGTACTCAGAGCATACTATTACAGCAATTACATAAACTGATGAAGCTATGCTGCACTGTGCACCTTAAATTGCAATTTAATGTTCTTTCATTAGTATTGAAGTAACCATGTAATAACTTACAGTGTCCGTAAACTATTTAGACCAGCAAATACTCCATCGCTAATTCTCTGTATTTTATTGTTGCCTAAGTATCTAAAACGGAAAATGATTTTCAATTGCATGTTATTAAAAGGTTATTTCTACACCTGTATTTTAATGTACTTGTTATAATGCAATAGCGTTGCACATAGAAGACGTGAAATACTAAATATTAATTTATTTTAACCAATGACTATCAAGCATCTTAATCTTTCTTTAATCAAATGCTTATTTCCGGAAATTAAAGTTTCTCTCACTTACAATGTTTTCAAACTTTTCAATCCTTTGAAGATTTTTAGAGTAGCTAATGCACTCAACAAATTTTCATTAAGCCATCTACATCAGTTAGTTATAAGCATTAATGCATTTTAATTACTTTTTCGGAAAAGAAACGATAAACATATTTATAAACTATTACAAAGACTTTTCTTTAATATTCTTCGGTAAACTCTAAAACTTAAAATATAACGTGTTCAAGTAACAATTTCTGATATCCCTTGCCAGAACTTACAATATTTGTAATTTAGGTAAACTTGCAAAAACTTCATCCCCAATCTTCTCAATCTTACTTTTATGAAGGTATCTAGATTTAATTAGATCATCGCTAAAAATTTATTATCATTATACATACATTTCTTATAAGGATTATTCATATTATACACATGTATGACTTTAACATTATTCAAAATAGCAAAAACATTGTGTATAGTTTTCTTATAAACAAAATTAATCCGATTTTTCTAAATATTATAAATCTCTTAACTGTCGGCCTGAATAGACAAGTCCATGATAATTGTCATAATTAATTATACAGTAACTATACATGGCAGTAACAGATAAATTTAAAGCATGCAATCTATAATTAAGAAGCTACTCAAAGTGATTTTGGGGCTATATGGCTCGTTTTTGTATGTAAATGTATGTCTTGCTTACAGCTCAGTCAAATTCGATAATCCCCCGAGCATCCTTGGAGAAGCTAGAACCTTTAGTAAATTCCCAGACAAATCTCTGTAACAAGTATACATGATATGATTTAAGCAATTATTTCACAAATAATATGGTATACATATACATATAGTACAAGAATAAAATATGCAGGTTACAGCATAGGATGATGATGGCTTTAAGTATCAAAGAACACTATTCACAAATTGCAATAAATTTATCAATGGAACATAACATCGTGTTATAACAACTTACAGCGTTTCTAGATTACCCAAATCCGCAAACACTCCGTCCGCAATCTTTTCCATCTTATTATCATTTAAATATCTAATTAATCACAATTAAATTTCTTGTCATATATTTTTTACTCGAAGCAGGTAAATGAATATTAAGCCTTCTTTATGATTTACAGGTTTAACGATAAAGTCCTATATCTTCTAGATGCTGCTAGTAATACTTTACGGTAACATGAGTTTCTTAGTATCATCGTAGGGCAGTAAAGTTTTAACGCTATAGTTTAATATCTCCTAGGTGCTGCTTGTATTACTTTATCGTAAGATGAGAACTTAGTATTATCGTAAATTAGTAGTAGTCAAATGTTCAGGAACAGTGTAAGATTATGTTTCTAATACAAATTTACAATTGAACCAGTGGCTGACTAATACTACCATCACTTTACAAAGGTCATAGAAATTTCTGTCATTATGTCTAGTCTAAGCTTACTCATTTATTGCCGGTATAAAAATAGAAATACAACTATTCATTTTTGAGACCTATGATTACAATACATGTTGCTTACAAGTATTTCAAGTTTGATAACCCTTGAAATATTCGTACGGAGCTTAAATAATGCAGCAAATTTCCTAACAGCCACCTGCATCAATTTACAGTACAGATATTAATGCAAAAATGAAAGCAGATTAACTCATACAGCTGTCTAATGATTAATTAATATAGTATGTGCCAAAAATTTCGAAAGTATTGTTGAAAAATTAGGATATATGTTCATTAACTAACGAAACGAAGATATTATTACTCGTTACTCCGCTCTAGCCCTTAAGAGCTTAGAAAGTATTTACTTAGTTATCTTAAGTTTACTGGTTGATTTACTCGTGCCTTTTGCATTTGCAGCTACAATTAAAACGGCAACATTTGTCTGTTATGTTACAACTAGGTAGATTGTAATCAATTAGTTACGTATTTTTGGATGATAACGGTTTAAAATCTGAAGGATGCTGTGCTTAATATAGCAAAAAAATTTACTATTTAATACTTTGCTGCTCTACAGTTTAATATCATAGATTATTGCGACATTATAAATAAAAGGAAACCAACTTCTAAGTTATAAGGAATATTCAAGCATGTTATCTCAAAATTGCTCACATTGATCGCAGCTTTGTAAAGTTTGCGAAAGCTTTGTCATTAATGCGTTCAATTTTATTATGTGATAATTTTCTAAAATAATAAAATAGTAGGTTAATATCATTTTCTTTTCATTAGCTAAATGAATAGTACGCAAATTGCACAGATTGTACGTAAGTGGATGGTAATATGATAATTGTTGATTTCCTTACAATATCATCAGATTTGGATAGTTATATAGATCATTATCCTGGATTCTTCGAATTCTTGTTGTAGAAATATTTCTTTGCCGTAACATAAATTGCATAGTAAATAATTTGCCAATTAGAAATTAGAACGTTAAGGTTACTGAATTTAAGGAGCGTTGTTTATTGGTTAGGATCCTCACTTTTGTGAAATAAATAAGAAACATAAAAAAGCTATCCATGCTAATTGCGATATATTAATTATTTAAAGGAAGTACTCCAAAAGATATTGCTATGTACGTACAATTCAGTAACATTAACCATAGGTATATTTGTGACTGGAAATTTGACGATGAGTGAATTGCAGCAAGTTATGGTGGTTCTGCTTCGACAACGGCATTCTTGAGGACATTGCGGCTCTAGGTAGATTGATTAACTTAAACTTAGTTATTTTATTGACATTAAATATACTGACGTTCAATTTATATTGTTTTATTTAAAGGAGTGTGCTAAAATACTAAGGAATGTTAATAGCAGCCCATTTGATCAAATTTTATACAGCATACGGGTATAACTACGGCAATTCGAAAATTTCTACTGACATATCGTATGACAGAACTGCTATCTAAATATTAGATTGCAATACATAACTATCGCGCGCTTCATAATTGCTTAGTGAGAACTATAAGCAGTGAAGTATCTGCTATAGATACACGGCTAATCTTAGAGGTAATCAACACCAAAGTGTGAATAGATATCGAGAATCAATATGTAAATCTATAATATCAAGCATAAATTCCTTATCTATTTGTACTAGGATTTATCTTTGGTAATAATTAACTTTCATTAAGTAAGGATATAGCGAAAGCTGACCCTAGAATGACAAAATAACCATAATTATGCTGATACAGTAAAAGCGAGACAACTTTTCAATATTACGTTTGTATATGAACATCAGAATTTGATAACTGGTTTAATATTTAATCAAAATTTTAGCCTTAGGAGTTCGGTGTTAGGTTCTGTAAATGTAATGCATCCTTTTCATCATGTACGCGTATATAAAGTTAGCAATTGCCGCCGATTTTAATTGGCACATCGATTTAAGTACGCTTACAATTAATCATTATTGAAAGATTTTCAGAAGGATGATGAGAAACTGCTCGTAGCCTCTTAACTTGCTAGTAATAATGCCTACTAATATCGAAGGATTATAAGTCTATTATCAAAAGTATCACTTCGTTATACATGCAAAATACTGCAACTAAGCGATTAAATTAGCAAAACTCTGAAACTAGAGCACAAGAACGATTTTATGTGTCAATAATAAGAAAGTTACATAAAATAATGTGTTATTACTTGATACTATTGATCCCTGCTAGCCCCTTTTCACTTGTGATGTTAATAATGTAACGCTTCAAAACCACATCATAATTTTACGATTCGAAAGTACTTTTACTTTATGGTATTTATTACTTTAATTTTGATTTTCACTTTTTGCAGACTTTACTATTGTTGCTTTAAAACGTCTAGGGTAATTCTACCATCTGTTTCATAATGGAGGCGATATTTGATCCTGGACTTATATATTTTCAATAGAATGGATATATCTTACCCTCTAAACGAAACTAATATTTCCTACGAAGTAAATAATGGCAGATAGTGTTGGGAACCAAGATTACTTATTCATTCAAACTAGTTATGTATACACACAACTATGACTATATTATTGAGAGTAATGCAAAAATGGAGCCTTGCAATGCAGATTTGAGCTATCAGTACTCTAGATTTGTAATTGATACTAAAGTTCCACTTTAACAGAAAAAGAAATTTTACTTGACTGAAGATACACGTAAGAGATGAAATGAAGTCAAAATGAAATCTTGAACGCAGCTCGCTCCAAGCGGTAAATGAAAAGATACTTCATTTCAATTGATTGTACAGTATCATATTACCAATTAGAAATTTCATAAAGTAATTAATAAAGTACAACAACGCACGTATGTAGTAATTTATCATTACAGCACAATCTCAAACTAATAACTCAGGGTTTTATTAGAATAAGTCTATTAATCTCTTCTAGCATTATTAATTCAGAACATATCAATAGCACTATAAATTCACGTAAAAATATTTAAGCTCTAATATACTCCTTTTACCGTAGCTTTTCTGAGTATGCAAGTTACGAATAATATCTTATAATGATATCTAACAAAAAGCTAATTTACGCTATTTCTCTATGTAATCAATAGAATTCTGAATAATGAACTATAAGTAAAAGATGTTATTCATACCTGATGCTTGTAAAAGGTTAAATTGCAAAATGATGTAACAAATCGATATGATTGATATCTTCATCATCATCAATCTTGTAGAAGTCATCCAGTGTACTAATAGCTGGCATGTATGTAAAGTAATTCAATTGCAGATAATGTTAGTATCCTTATAAGAAGATCAATAATCATGATAATACATTTTATCTGGCTACTTTATCTAGTAAGATATTTCTTTACTAAAAAATTATATATTTTGAAAGCTTTTTCTATGTATGTGCGCACAAGAGTCAAACTAAATTTATAGTTTTTACGAGCATTTTGATTCACTGAGGCTTTATTGCGTTTATCTTAGGTTAATAGTAAATAACCAATTTTTCTTCACATAAACTGCCAAATTCTTTAAAGGAATACTGATATAGCATTATTATCGCTAATTTTGTATTTAGGAAATTGTGTAAGAAATAAAATATATTGAATTTAATAAAAATTAATTTTACTGCGTATTGGAATTGCCTTGTTAAAAGAAAACTAGTATTAAAGGGTCCCATGACTCGGTTGATGTTTTCACGAATGCACTATCTTAACAGAGTTAATAACAGCTATTTGGTTATTACTAGAATAGGAATTTACTTGTTTTAATCTATTATCCTTTACAAAAGCAAAAAAAGCTTCATCCATGAATTTGCCTTCCTATGATATCGAACAATCTTTGGTGATCTTACAATTACTTTTAAATACCGAGTATTCCTACAGCAATATTCTTTTAGGCTCTAGCATAACTAAAAATTGCCTTTACGTTGCAAGATGAGTCTTTCGAATACAGAAAGCAATGGGTACTAGAGCTTTTAGTCTTTTACAATATTATCATTATATTAGAAGGCGTGGCATTCAAGATACACAGCTTAAAATAATTAAGGACGAAAAATAGACACTATAATCAATAGACATTGATACACTAGTCTTATTGATAGAAAATATAAAGCATAAGCATATTAGTAGAATTTTATCGTCTTTTCTAGACTAAGAGAAAATAATTGGCTTTCAAAGCGTAAGTACAGGTTTGTCCTATTCGTAATTATAGAATGAACATTTCTTCTTATAATATCTTCTCTTCATTTAAAACAATTTCGTAGACATAATTATAAATAACTCCAAGTTTTTGGATTACGTTTTCTTTTCATCTTATTCGTAATTTATTAGGTATATTTAGTATAGACATTAAATTACATATGCGCAGCGGTCACATAATTATTTTCTTTTTATTAAATCTTCATTTCCTAACTTCGAGATAGAGGCGTACTCTCGGCTTCTTACCTATTTATATTATTGTCCTAATTACAGTTGATTACTATTTTTAATTTGATTTGTTTACTAACTAATTTTTCTATTCTTTTAATCAATTATATTATTGATTTATTTTATTTAAATGATGCTGTTTGCTACACCTGTCTTCATGTCTGCCACGAAAGTAATCTTCGACGTATACTTAATTTTCATGTTACGTTCTTGTCACAAAACAGCTTTGCAACAAGATAACGCAATATACGATCAATAAGTCAATTCCTTGAACCACGTATCAAGGAACGATATCTGCACTATCACAAACACTTTTGCTCTACTAGCAGACTACACAAAGACTTAAACGCCTCGTATTTTACGTTAAACACTAAGTTGGGGAATTCTCTTTATTTCACGATATACTGCATTTATATACTACTCCTCAATAGTTCATGAGTCATAGTTAATACAATTAACATTAGAATCATTTACTGAATTAGATATTATTTTTAGCTACTGCTCCCTAAATGCAGACAACAGTATTTACGAATATAGACATGTAATGACTAATACAGAATAGTCAGATTACGATATGCCCTATCACGGAACATTTCCATGATAATTTACAGTCTACCATAAGTAAGTTACAATCACAATGATTCGAACTGTAAGTAGATGATTTGCATTCCCTATTATAACTATTAATTTCAGTATGTGTATAAGTGTCACTGTCATAAAAAGTCAGTGCTATATTAAAACACAGTATATCCAAATTATAAGTTAACTAAATAAGGATAGTCTAACAGAATTATCCTAGCATAGATATTTCTACTCTAATACAGTATATAACACTGTAACAGTTCTATATATGTTTAGATCTCAGAAATCTTTTACGGTCTCCTTAATTGTAATTTTAGTGGTTAACAGTTAATATCCTTAATTTAGGATTACATAGACTAAAATAGTAATTGCCAACCATCTAAAATGGATCATTTCTATCACCTCCATAGTTATTAAGGTTCAAAGTACAATTGCTAATTTTAGAGGAAATGTCTTAGTGGGATAGCTTTATATGTATATGTAAAACTATTAATAACCGTTGATTTTTTTAATGCTATTATAGTAAATTTAATAGAATTAGACTGTACCTAATCTGTGCAGATAGAATTTCTTTAGAGCATTAATTTGGTTAATTTCTAATAGACGAGGTCATTTGTGTAGCTAAACTGGTTTTAGGTGGGAAACCTATATAAACGGCGAGTTCGCCGACAATAAATTAGATTGTGATTTTCTAGTAAGTCTTGAAGGTCTCCCTGTCTTAAACCTTATCTGCCTTGGAATACCAATTGTCTGGTATTCCAACTAACAGTAACAAAGGGTAGAAATCACTCTTTCAATCCTTGTTGCAAGCTAGGTCTATTCCTAGCTCGTAACAATGTCCTATTATATTTTACCGCAGGAACCTGCCCTAGTTTAAATAAGTATTGCAGAGTACCATGGTTCTGCATAAGATTTCGATAAGTTTTATTGCAGATTAACACTGCTCTCTTTTGTGGAGTAACTATCGTAAGTGAGTCAAAGTGAGACAGTATTGGTACACCATTGGATCGTGACAAAATTCTGAACTCCAAATAATTCGTAATTATTGATTATTCCCGTTGCCAATTTCGTATGAGGGTGCTGTTTTAATACAGAACGTTGTTTAAAAGACACCTGGCTAAGATAAACCGGATAATTATCCTGATAAGTACTTAGGACTGCAGAATCGCCATACGGATTACTATTATTTCTATAATACCAAGTACTTATCACTAGAGTATTACTTAATTAGTTAATACTGAAGGAACCTTAAAATTTACGCGGCACTACAGATATGTAGTATATTAGATCTATTCGTCTTTAGATGGTGAACTACAGAGATATTTATAAATTAATTTTGTAAGCCACATTAGAGCATTGTTATAATGTATTATTAAGTATAACTGATTAGTACATAAAATATTGAATGACATGTTGTTACGACCTAGTTTTGTCGTAAATAATTACTTATGTTACTTAAACCACGACATTTACACTAAGGCAACAGGCTCTACTACTGTAACTGCAATATGTTATACCGCAGGCTTGGCAACTGTAAGACTGTAAGGTATATATAGAACACTGTAATATACTTTAACAGGTTAAAAGTGATATTATAAATAAAGATGTTGCAGATCATGTCAAGTTTCAAGCAAGACTAGGCTCATGCTAACACAGCAAAGTGACGGGTTGTAGGGCTAGTATTAGCGTAACAGTGAACTAAAGAGATATTTATAAATTGAATTTGCATGCCACAATTCAGCATTGTTACACTACGTTATTTAGTATAACTGCATAGTCCGTAAAATTTTGATTGATATATGGCGCATTAAGTATATTAGTATTTGAATAGTGTTGAACTACAGAGACATATATACTGTAAATTGTCTAGTAGATAGAAAAAATTTTAATTCAATCATCTTTATTAGATAAAGGTATTCAAATAAATCATTGCCGGCACTTAATGCGTAATGACTTAGATACTAATCTTATGTGAAAGTGAATTATTGTGCCTTTTATTAGATAATGCTTGCATATTACAGTATCTCAGCAGCCAAATTAGCAGTATTGTGCAGTTCTAGCTTCATTAAATCTAGGTTGTTTGTGACTGCTAATAGTCTTAGATAGTGCGATGCTGTAGTTTATAATAAAAATGTATTAGGACCTTTATGGACTGCAAAGCTTATGTCGTACAGGATGTAGCTTAAAATTGCTTACCTTACTAGAAGCCATTGTTAGCATATTTGATGTTTTGAGTAGAACCAAGTTGATAACATAATTATATAAGGAGTTTTATCAGAAAAATGAATACTATATTGTAGATTGCAACTGCGTATAGTGTAGCGATTGCTCAAAGATCAATGTATAAACTGTAGTAGGTAACGTATGCAGATACTAACACTAACGAGTGCAACTAATAAATCTGTGACAGAAATTATCAGTATTTATAGTCCTTAAGATAGAGCACATACAGAGAAGAGGAATTTAGAATTAGATGCAAGGTATGCCATAATGGATTATGTTATAGCAAACGATTGTGGAAAATTGCGAAGACTGTAGATGCTATAAATAAATAAGCTTAACAAGCTATATTTCAGTATAGTTGAAATGGACTGAAAAGATATTTATATTAAGAAGAATATATACCTATATTTAAAGATATGTTAAGAGCTTACAATGCGATCTGAAACACTACAGGACAAAAGAAGAAGGACAGCGGAATAAAGTATTACAAAATTTTTCTTCTTGTAGCTTAAGTTATTGACAAAGTAAAACTGAGAAGATATTTCCTTAGCAGAGAAAGATATCACACAAACTAGGTTCCTTAACTTTATTATGAGAACTAATAGGTAGCCGTATTATTTTTAAGCATGCCAACCCATACGAATGGATATCAATTTTCACAGATGCAAGATCCTGGCATACACTGAGAGTACACTATACAAAACTCGGTGATGGAATGATCTTTTATTCTTGTGATCCATCTTACTTAGAATGGTACTTACCGTTTCGTTTAATAAAGTACCACACTAGTATTGCCAAGATCTTTGCAAATTATAATTAAGAAGTTAGCTTTTCCTAAGGCTTCCAGCAAAGAAAGTCTCAGACTTTTAGTCTATGATAAACCAGTCCTTGTAACTCTGTAGATATTTAGTACCAACTAAAGCGTACTTTCACATAAAGTCTTGGATCTTATGTAAATTTAATGTACGCTAATTGTTGAAATAATAACTGTAAAATTGCATTTCGCAGATTCTTCTTGAATATCAAAGTAATATATTTGCAACTTATTAAATGTGCCCATTTTATTTTATTAATTAAATTTTTTCAACAAAGAAGTTCACATTAAATTCAATTCTTTATAACAAAGTATTACTAAACATAAAGTAATGCATCTAAATCAAAGCAAGTATCAGAAATTGTTTAAATCTATATTCTATAGATTAAGGTGAAGAAATACAACGATGGTAAAATTTTTCACTATATAATCTTTTTGAAGTAATGGAAATGAAAATTAAGACTTTCAAAGTAGATAAAGGCCTTATGTTAGGACATACCTCTGTTTAAGTACATATTGGTTTATAAATAATAAGATTTATACTTTACAATATTAATACTGATAGTTTAGTAGTACTATCCTTAATAAAATTCTGTTTCAGTAAGTTGACAGAATAAAGCATTTTAGTTGAGTATGGCCAATGATGCGACAGCCCAAATACTCTATATACTCTTGCAACTATTAATATACTGCGGTACGATTCCAAATAGCAGTACGGCAGTAGCTAGGTTATTATAACTTAATTTTTTTGATTGCTTGGTTGTTATTTAACATAGCAATGCTAAATTTAAATTTGTAAACATGTTCTACCATGAGTAATAAAAGATTTAATGTATACGGAATGAGATTTTGAATCTTTCCCTACTTACATTGGCTTGACTCTGAGGGATTTTGTCAGTTTGTAACCTTAATTACCGGTTTTAATTTATTAACTGCAAAGAGTATGCGATCCATAATTGTCAGTTATTGTTTAATTTGCAACAGTTTAATCAGGAAGTATTGAATTAAAGTCTAACTTGACTTCTAATTTGTATGTATTTATAGTTTAGTTAAGATAATCATCTGTTTCAGTATATCAGCAATCAAATAAAAATGATATTTAAAACGAGACATGGTCCTTACAATACTTTATTACAGGTAAGCTAGCTTGAAATCTGCTAGTCAACACATTTCATCTATAATTGGTTGCATTATCTACTGGGTCACATTCAAACCCAAAATTTGAATTTAAGACGAACATATCATGCACATTTCCGTAGAGTTTAATGAAAATTAATATCATGGCCTAATGATCTTGAGAAATATTGATGTTATGGTGTTACAATATTTTTTATATATATAGAATATAATAAGTAAAAATTTCTTGCAATAAAGCCAAATACAAATGTTGATAATTTTACAGTAAAGCATTGCTATATATTCGTATATAACAATCTATTTACACAAATACGTGCGGTTGAACGATGCTTTTTGATCAAGTGTTGTCGTATCGTAAAGAAAATTCATTATATCTTCTATAGTGATAATATTAGTTACGATTCTGCATTATTTTTTTTATCTTTACCACCATTTTCAAGCCAATAGTCTACTGGTTCATATATAATTTTGTCCTTAGGAATCTATGATATATAATACAGCCATATTTAATGTCTTTCTATGAAATTTTTTCATCTATTGATAAAAACCAGTATAAGCGATAGTTAAGTTTGTCTTACTTCTTTCATTTCACGTTGATATTGTCGTAGCTCTTGCACTTCAGCATCACGACGAACCTGCGGTAAGTAAGAAAGAGCAATTTACGAGTTTGGAATCGAATATCAAATCAATTACCTAAACTCTTTGTGGAAGTGATTACTAAAGATTATCATACCAAATATCCTCTGAATGCGGACTGGACGATAGTTGCAGCTTCATCATCACTCAGCAGTAAAGACAGTGGAAGTGGTGGTCTTGGGCTATGAGAATTAAAATTAGTAAAATGATCTTCCATAACGTAGCTTAAATTTGAAAATACTGGCGTTAATTATATATGTATATATCCTCATACATCCGCAAAGCGTCCTTCATAACCCGAATCTTACGCAAGAAAATTTTTAATAAGCATGATGATAATTGTAGTTAGACACTTACTGTTTTTCTAACACCTCCTTCACGAATGGAATATCATCTAAAGCTATATTTTCTCTTTCTTCTTTGTAATTAGGATTATTTCTGGTGAATTAGTATGTGAAATAGTTACTAGCATGTCTAAAAATATCCTATTGGCACTCTTAACTACGCTGGACATACATCAAGTAACGCAAATATCTGAACTAAATTCCAATAGCTACATCATCGTCAACTAATCAAAATGGCTACTACTGCTTAAAAATGTTCTATTAGCACTCTTTATTCCGCTATATACGTCAAATAAAGTAACCGTACATATTTAATTGCAAGAGCTGCATCATCAATTAATTGAAACGAGTTGAAACTGACTCAATCTTACTTATAAATATACTCCGTCAGCCATTCCAAGGCATTAAGTTTAGTTCGCCTTCTCTAAAAAGTAAAATATAAAAATGTTGAAGTTTGCTCTCCTAATTCAGACGTAGTATAGTACAATAGATAAGTAAATTATTTAATAAAATTTGCCGTAGAAGCTTTTCGTAAAATGGATTATGTTCAATTGCAATGAAAATAATTTAAGAGAATAGAAATTTCTAATTACTGGCAAGATACCTCTAGTGCACGGTCTTTCTTTGCCTGTAATATCAAATTCCTCAGTGCAGGCATTAAAACTGGAAATATATACGTCTCAAGATATATCTTGGGAGGACCTATGTATTATCATGATTAAAGCAATCGTATATGCTGAGAGTCTATACTTTTTATATAATAATAGTATTTAAGCTATTCTAATTATTTATATTACGTAAATTTCAGTTTAAAAGATGCTACTACAATCAGAAATAATAAATATTAATCCATACAAGACTAAATATATAGCAGTACGTACATATTAATAAATTGACTTAGGAGTACGGTAGTTCATTTAGTTGATATAGAGATAGTCCTATTTTATAGCTTACACGTTTTGGAATCTGGTAGTTCAACAGACAGCTGAGAAACCTTTTCATCCTCTTGCTCGATTATTTCCCTATAGCCAGCAAAAGCTGGATGAATGATGGCCGGATTAAACCTACCAAATAGTTCATCTGCTTGATTGGCTTCATAAATAGGTTCACAACTTTGACCATGCATGACTGGTGTGACTTTAGCTGGATCGAAAGGGATGACCTCGATTGGCTCTTTATTGATTACTTGCTGTTGAGACGTATATTTCTGCTGCATTATGTCATTTTCTTTTAAGATTTCCTCCCAAATATTATATTTAGTTTGAATAGTGAAAGCTTTATGATAGCCGGTCTCCATGGAGTCTATATTTCAAGCTGTATAACGAAGTAATATCGAAATAATGCTTTATGAAATCCTTTTTTTACTGCTATCCACGTACAATTAATAGCTGCGACTAATTTTGTTTGTGTATTCGATATACTGTAGTTTATCATCGTTCTCTCTAACATCTCCTGCTTCGAGTCATCAGTTGACTTGTTGCCATGGCAATAACGGCTACTTTATGACTAGTCGTCGCCATACGAAATACACAAATTACACTACTTGTTGTAGTTATGCATAAAACAGTACCCTCATTGTATAATAGTCTCTTTCCATCATTCACTATAGTCTTGACTATTCAGTAAGTATTCAGTATGAACAATGCTTGTGGCTTGGGTTCTGTCCTAGTATAAAATGGCGATAATATAGATGACTGCATTCTCATTCGTATATACTCTACCTCAGAGAAATTTTGCTAAAATTGGTTAAGTGTAACAGTTTAAATCGATCTTAAGGTAGCTTAACTTATTACCAGTTTACTCAGAAGACTAATCAAAGTTATCTAAAGTTTAATTTAGGATGAAGATCTCTCATATATTTTCCTGAATGGTCTAACTATAATAATTTGATTATAATGACATTAATACAAAGTGCTTCTATGATAAATCTGATTAGAGAATGAGATAAAGGTTTAGATATGCCTAAAATCTTATTAGGCTTAATGGATACAAGTAAAGGTCCATTATCATTTATTATTAATGTGAGGTATAGTTGTAGAGACTAAACAGTATCTGGAATTTATTACCAGCAATCTATGCTGGAAATCGTTCCTAACGAAATGCCGAGACCAGTAAATTGCCATATGTAAATCTTTACCAGATCTAGCAATTTATATCCAATAAAAATGAACAGATATAATACAGATATTGTGTGTGCTGCAATATCATCTTAAAACGATCTAAGGATAACACAACTTATTATCAGTTTATTCAGGAGACTAATCAATGTTTTATGACATTCAGCTAAAAGCAAAGAACTTTCAGTTATTTTACTGAATGGCCGAACTATAGCAAATTGATGAGATATTAATGCAAAGTACAGTACTTCTATGATAAATCTGACACAAAAATAAGGTAAAGGTTTATATATATACCTATGATATTATTAGGCTTTATCGATACAAGTATAGATCCTTTATTTGTTTTAATCATTAATATGAGTCTCTTATGATAGTAGAGACTAGACAGCGTTTAGAATTTATTACAAGCAATATATATTCAAAGTTGTTCCTAATGAAATACTGGGACTAGCAAATTATTGTATGTAAATCTTTACTAGATCTAGAAATCAGCTCGCAACAAAAATGAAAAGATACACCGTAATGCAAATATAGCATGCGAAGTAATATCATCTTTAGCACCTTAAGGCAAAAATGTCTGCACAGAACCTAGGTAGAGCTGCACATGACCTGTACTTCAAAGCACTGTCATAAAGGATGTTTTTCAATCTTCGTGCAAAGCTTGCCTTTATGATAACTTAGTAAATTAAAATTACAAAATAATTATTTACAGTTAGAAATAAGTTGACACCTGATACTTCATCAAATCTAATTTTTGGGCAATACCTTACTGTAGATATAGCAAATACTACGGATTTAGCTTATAAGTCATACGGCATATACTTCTTCCGAAAAGCATGAACTAAGAGCACTAATCATGATTAATTTTAGTTTTATGCAGCATGCATTACACCACATGATGACTTTGTAGCTGGAACTTTTTAAAATCCCTCTCTTCCATCTTACTGCAGAAATGGCACTTACCGAAATACTCCGTCATGGTTATAAAGAAATTTTAGGAGCCATAATTTTGCTTGGGTTGTCACTTGTTTGTAATTCCGATTTTTCGAGTAATAAATATGAACAACCAGCTTTCGAAATTGTGTCTAGTGAAAATATAAAACATGGACGTAACTATCTAAGTCAATTACGCAAGTGGAGCGAGACAGCACAATGCTGGCACGAAGCCTTGATGCAATTTCAGCGTGGCTGCAAGCACCTCTCTTCAATCGATCAATCCAGGCTAGCTATTTCTCTCACTAACTGTCATCTAGCACAATCTGGACATCCGATATTCCCGTGCTCTAATAATCAGTCTATTGAAGAATGCACCCAAACTATGGATAAAGCAGATTTTATCATCTACACTGAATTCTTCACAAATTCTATAAGCATCTGTTTTTTCATCAGAAATCAGCAATGGCAAGAAAATACTGAGTTCATTATTAATCAGCTATCGATCTCTTCCCTCGAAACAGCTAAGAAACTAAAGAAGTCGTTGCAATACCATGAACAGGTTAGTAATAATTATATAATTATAATATAATTATATCATATAAGATCGTTTTCTTGATTATATTTCATCGATTATCGACCGATCTCTACAGTATAATAGTACTAGACGGTACGGTTGTAGCTGAAATACTTTCATTAGCCATGCAAGAACGCTAGATTAGGTAATTTGGATATTACGGTATTTAAGAGAAAGTTTGACTTGACCAGAGAGATTTTAAGAACTTGTTTGAGCAAAGATACAAGATTGAAAGAATTACTAAAATTTGCTGTTGTAAACTTGGGTTAAAATACGTGCATGCTTCTGCAAACTGGACCCGATTTATAACAGCTGGAGCAGTTTTACATATACGAGTATAAAATCATCGTTGCTGCTGATACATTAGCTCTTTATGATACTACTACAAAAGACTATAGCTTGATTTTACATGTCTTATAATCAATAAAGTACTTTGGATACTAGCTTTGAACAGCATATTTGCAATATTTTTCCGTACCCTAAATCATAATATACATGCTCTACCTGTTTTTATATCCTTGTAGCTGCTACAAAAGCAACATAATTCCTTAGAGAATCAAAAGTTAATAATTCAAAATGAAAGACTTTTGAAAGAATCTATCAAAAATTCTACTGAAGATATGACTGATATTTTGGCGAAGACTAACAGTAAGGCTCAAGAGAATTATCAAACAATTCGAGCAGCATTTAGTAGTTTAGGGAATAATTTACGATATTTGACTTCGCTCCAAATGCTACTTCTGGGAGAATTTTCTACAATTTATACCAGCATTTATTATGTGATTGGTGTTTCATTAGCGTATTTGCTAACTACGACACCGTCCACTGCGAATGCAAGAATTTGGTTATATCTAGTTTTAACGATCAATGTAATATTTGAACGAGTATTGACAGCGATTTTACACAGTTATCGACCTGTCGATAACAAAATCAAGGTTAGAAAGGAATATATAGAAAATCTATAGCTGAGTAATTTTGCATTTAGTATTATTCTAGCTACAATTTTATTGCATTTCACGCTTATAGGATACAATTTATAGCACAACATGGATCGGTAGGAGAATTTTCATTGGGATCTGTACTATGATTCTTGTAATTTCCTATATTAAGTATCGCGATTATAAGAAAATTAATAATGCTTTACTGGAAAAAATTACGAAACAAAATATGGAAATCAAAGCTCTCTTAAACAATAAATCACCCTTAGCTAAGGAAGATGGTAGATTATTATCAGACATCGATTCCCCTAATGCAATTACGAAGCAAAATGTGGAAATCAAAGCTTTGCTAAATAAAAAGTTACTCTTCCCTGAGAAAGAAGATACATTACCAGATGTGGATTCCGCTAATGAAAACTCCTCAGCTAAGATTTTAAACAAACATTTAGGGAAGCAGATGAAAAGAAATCAACAGCATCAAGTTGTAGCCAAAAGTAAAAATTTATCCAGTTTGCGTGACAGTGGCATTTCTGATGACTGTGAAAGTGATTTTGAGATGAGAGCGATTGTACATCCAGAAACATCAGGAAGATTAAAACCGAAATCTGCAGTTAATGATACTAAAAAGATACCGAATGGCGAGGTAAGCCTATATTTTTCAATTTGCTTGTATTAGTAATATAATTAGCCCGCGGTGTAGAGAATTACCGCATGACTTTGTAAACCAAACCATTAATTAGTCTGTCGATTTGTTGATTTAAGATTTTAGCATATATTGATTGCATTCAATCCTTGCCAATCGATTTTACATACATAAGAGTGATATACGTCTGGTCATGATAACTACTCATATAATTTACTAGACTACGCGCATAAAGATTTTTCTAAACTGTAATTGTAGGCAACACCAGAGAGGATGACTCGTTCACCTACACGTTATAATCTTCGTCAACAGTTCGGTTATAAAATGAACGCAACAAAGAGAGAAAATAGTACTGTAAAACCTTCAAGAAAGGAAAAGAGGAGCAATAGCGTGAAATCATCTCGAGGTTTGCCTTCGGCTAAAATGGAACTGTTCTCCGAAGAAGACTAGGAATTGGATCGCTCTGAATTTCCTATCTTTACAGTGACTGCTTGACGATGGATTAAATTGAATTGTTATTCATGATTTAAGACATAATCTTTCGTAAATGTTGTGGTATGTCAAATGCAACTAATAGAAATCATATTAGAGTGCTAAATTACAAGCCTCCAATTTGCATTTAATGACTGTATTACCATTATACCAAGAATTTACATATTAAATTGTAGCATTCTTTCCTCTGTGCAGATTTATTTGTACTTCGTAATCTATAAATATAACAAATTCTATATATTTAGCCTACATTTCATAATGATTTTTGGTCAATTAAATATATATATTTATCGCAGTCAAGTTTATAGTTTACTGCATGGAAAGTAGCTCCCGAAGCTAGGAATCCATTCCATAATCACTCCGAACGTACCATTTCCAACACTTTCCGAAATTTGTGTATACGATCCCGATAGCTCAGTGCATGCACCTAGCAATACTAAAATAGAATCGTAGTTGATTTATTGCGCTGGACTAATAATGCTGAACTATTTATTGTCAATAATAAATCGATCAACCTCAGAGAATCTAAGCGAATCGAGAGCCAGCATGACTTCTAAGTACTATAGACTGCTCCATTCGCTAATTTACCGACACCCTTACATATACTAGCTAGCAGAAATCACATAAACGTATAAATCTGGCCTAGCAATTATAATGACTAAAAGTAATCTTATTTGACTGCATTCGGCACAACGCCGGACTACCAATTACTGTACTATGGCGCCCAATGTTGCGATACAGCAATTAATAATGACTGCACTTGTAGATCCATCAATTTATCCGATTGATGTAGTTAATATTAGAAGTTACCAACAAATACCTGAACTCAAAGCTAAACCAAAGCCGATATGATACCACTGAGTAACATGATTCAATCAAAGGTCAAGGCGGAAAGGCTCTACAATCTTCTGAGCCCTCTCCCTCCTTAGTTTTATTTTGTACTGTATACCCTTGCATGCTGTCTATCTTATGCAGTCATTTCAAGTACAAATTGCTAATTTAAGACAATTACACTATGTAAAAAAACATATCTAGGTCTTGATAATTATAATCAATGCTAATGTTAGTGTTGTATCAGCAATAAAGACTACAACATAGACATAACATCTACTATCGCATGTTTGTGTTTAGTTTACAGTATTGCTGAATGAAGTTCATCTGCTGAGTCGTTACAGATTGGTGAGTGTTACTTCTATTCTTGGCCATTCATTTGTACATTTCTCATATGATATCCGGTTTGTACTCTACTTAACGAAACGATGAAGAAAGTTAAAACTGCCTTACCATCTCAGCAATCTTCTCTGCCAGCAAATCTACATGATTGAGCCTTAGCATGGACTACTAGAAGGTTTTCTTCTCGTAGCCCATGGTCATACCTTGGATCACTAGATCTCTTGTATCTAGTCACACTGAGTATATTTGCATTTCTTCCTTGGTCGCAAATTTGCTTAATAAAATTAGCTATGATTGGATGACTTGATAAAAGTAATTTATTACTTTGTAAAATTAGTTAAGGTATTGGTTAAGGACCTCACAAGTTTTTCTTCTAGTTTCTTCCTAGGCAAGCCAATACAGTATTTATTTACATCTCTTCCTTGGTCGCAAATTTGCTTAATAACATTAGCAATGATTGGATGACTTGATAAAAGTAATTTATTACTTTGTAAAATTAGTTAAGGTATAGGTTAAGGACCACACAAGTTTTGTTCTAGTTTCTACCTAGGCAAGCCAATACAGTATTTATTTACATCTCTTCCTTGGTTGTAAATCTGCTTTATAAAATTAGCATTGATTGGATGGCTTGATAAAAGTAATTTATTACTTTGTAAAATTAGTTAAGGTATTGGTTAAGGACCTCACAAGTTTTTCTTCTAGTTTCTACCTAGGCAAGCCAATACAGTATTTATTTACATCTCTTCCTTGGTCGCAAATTTGCTTAATAACATTAGCAATGATTGGATGACTCGATAAAAGTAATTTATTACTTTGTAAAATTAGTTAAGGTATAGGTTAAGGACCACACAAGTTTTGTTCTAGTTTCTACCTAGGCAAGCCAATACAGTATTTATTTACATCTCTTCCTTGGTTGTAAATCTGCTTTATAAAATTAGCATTGATTGGATGGCTTGATAAAAGTAATTTATTTACTTTGTAAAATTAGTTAAGGTACTAGGTTAAGGACCACACAAGTTTTGTTCTAGTTTCTACCTAGGCAAGCCAATACAGTATTTATTTACATCTCTTCCTTGGTTGTAAATCTGCTTTATAAAATTAGCATTGATTGGATGGCTTGATAAAAGTCATTTATTTACTTTGTAAAATTAGTTAAGGTACTGGTTAAGGACCACACAAGTTTTGTTCTAGTTTCTACCTAGGCAAGCCAATACAGTATTTATTTACATCTCTTCCTTGGTTGTAAATCTGCTTTATAAAATTAGCATTGATTGGATGACTCGATAAAAGTAGTTGATTACTACGTGAAATTAGTTAAGGTATTGCTTAAGGACCATGCAAGTTTTCCTCTAGTTTCTACAGTAATGAAGCAGAATACAATACAGCAAATACCAATACAGTATTCGTCCAGTTGTATGGTCTCATTTATGATATGCTCATTAGTCCTAACCATTTTGCATCAATTACCTTGTCCACTTCGTTTAAGCAGTCCTACTGATACATTAGACATTTATTGACATATGTAAAAAATAAAATCTAGAAATCGTCCAATCTCATGAGCGCCAAGTAATTTATGCAAAATGGTTCGGGCTAATACTCATGCGCTGATGGATAGATGAAATAGTGCACCAGCGGCCTTTCTCAAATTTTCAAAATAGACACGGCATAAACACCGACGAGATGAGCAAAGGTGCAAGTATGCAAATGAACTCATAGCAAAAAATCTGGTCATCCACTGCCGTATATTAAGAATCATCTCTAGATTTCAACTGTCTTAGCTACTGATCAATCTGGACGTTAGCCACTGTTGCAGGAAGAGCAAACTGATATTAATATTATCTAATAGGAGTTAACGGGATTGCTTTTATTGTTGCAAAACAAGAAAAGGTTTGATTGGTATTTTTCACGACTGTCCATCATCAACACGATCATGAGTTACAATTTAGCCACATGGAATGTGAGCCAATCCAAAGGATTCGCACAATTTCTTCATCAACAAGATGTTGTAGTATTACAAGAAGCGAACCCTGCCAGTCGTAAGGAAATTACCCAAGCTGGATTTAAATTTATCGTCGGTCAGCGGTCACATTGCGGTGAGACACATATCTATGTTCGACAAGGCATGATGGCTCATCCGTTTGGAGATGAGTGGCCACATGGTACTGCTTGCGCTCTGATCGATGATCGCTGGCTAATTTGTGGTGTTCATTGGCCACCATTTAAGGAGAGTAAATCTCTAAGATCGAAATGTGCTAACTGGGTTATGGCAAAGTTGCGTAATCATGAGTATGTTGTCGTTGCTGGTGACACAAATATGAGAAATGATGAAAATGTTTCTGAATTAGATGACACTTTTCTGACCGCTGGCCAACCTGCTGACCATCGCTTTACCATGGACGGCTACGAAAATAAAGGTTGGTGGGTAGATCGCCCTTTTAAATGGAAATGTCGATATGATCGTGTCTATCTCCGTAACAACGAATGGTTGTTAAAGGATTTCCGTGTCGATAAAGGCAATTTTATTTCCGACCATTATTGCTTGAAAGTGCAACTTCAAATGAAACAAGTTTAACATCTAGATAACATGCACGTTTTACAATTACACTAGACACTGTGGACAGTGCACTTACTCGCAGCTCTTTAAATATCGTCTCTCACTCACTATCCTTGCTTAACTTGTCTATTTCAGCTCGATGCTACTGAAGTCTAGCTGTACACAAGCTCGTCAAATTCTTTAACACTTAAATACAGTTTCAACTAACTTCACATCTACACATTCATATACGGTAGGAAAGATCAAATGGTTAAGGAGATTTCTTCCGTTATTTCAAGCCGGATTATACTCCCTGCACTACTGAAGACTATTAGCTTTGCATGCAATCGTATTTTTACAAGTATTGGCCAAGGTCCTATGAAATTAAGCATGAAGCTTTGGATATACCGAAATTTTAAACTATTCCTTATTCTTACGTGCACATAAATTTACTTCTTCAGTATTTTTCGCCTACCAGTATATAAAAAGTGAAATAAATACCCTGTAGCTGTTAATCATGGTTTTACTCCATGGACTTTAATATTCGTATGCTATTGGCAAGAATGGGCCCCATTCTTCAAACACACCAGAAAATTACTCACTATATCCTTTGCATTTACATAGTACAGTATTAATGACAGTTAAATCTATTGATTGAATCTGCTTCTGTGTATTACCCTGCCGCATAGTGATCACGGTAGTAAGGGTTGATAATTGTTATAGCTATTTAAATTCACTTGTTTTTGCTAGATTTATCTAGTATTGTTTTGTCTCATGATTGATTTGATTTGATTGGCATTCACTGATTTTGTCTAATTATATATAACTAAACCAACGAAACAGCATACAAACGGTTGAGGAAAATCCTTTGATCAAAAAAAGCTATGTTCATACCTACCGTATATCATTAACTGCAGATTTTAAAATTCGAAACCATTATAATAATTATTATTCAACATTTAATATTTTATCGAACAAATGCGAACTAATCGTTACTCTACCATTAATATTTGCACTATTAACCTGAGAAGAAATAAAAAGTTTTCTTCCGAACAACGCTACAAATACATAAGCTGCATTTTAGAAACGTGTCAAAGTGTCCTTGCATCATTGGCAGAGTGAAATCAATATTACCAACATTAGCTGAACAAGGTGTTCTCACATAAAGATCTTTTTCGTCTTATGATTAAGTAGATTACGAACTAGTTTATTCGAATTACATTCTTCTGAATGCAGCAGGCAATGAATTACGAAATAGAGCAAGGTCTAACTTTTCTAAAAATTAGTTAAATACTATCCAAGTAGCTTTCGTGGGTTTTACTAACAGTAAATATTAATATTGCTCACCTACGTGCGTAATTTTGCAATTATAATTACATCATTTCTATTGCGAGACGGTTAATTTTTAATATTACTATAATTATAATATTATATACGTTAAATGCATTTCCGATTTCTTAACATTTTATGCAGTAGCATACTAATACATATCGGGTACGTACTTGTAATAACCGTAACACAATACGATAAATTACCATGTATGGTCATTGCTCCAATGTATATTACATTATAAACTAAGTACGCTTTTATCATTCTCATAATGCTCGGAATATACTGTATTTCCTCTATTAATATTGGGCTTTGTATAGAACTCGATATACACGAAAAGTATTATAAATATTCGTTTATGAGCTAATAAGATTTGTCACATCAGAACAACACATCGCATGTCGTTACAAATTCAATTAGATTAGATTTCTCAAACACTTGATAAAAATATACCAATCAATTTCGATCCTAGCGACCAGGATATTTGGCTATATCCAATTTATCAAAGCATACATTAGACACAATCCTATGCATCCTATTGAGCCTCAACTTCTGTAGTCGGAGCAGTTTTCTGTAAAGCTCTATTTAAATCGATTTCAATTGGAAAGATATCTGTTTCTTCCATTTCTTTTATGCAATCTTGATGGTACTCTGTTAAACTGCCTATTAGACGGCGTAATTGTGTGCATAAATCTTGAACTGCAATGTTAAAAATGATAAGTAAATAACACATCACCTAAAAATATGGCAACATTACTCTACTTTATATCATCTTCAAACGTATACAATAATATCGCTATCTATCTTGAGTAGTGGAAATACAGTAAATAGCTGTTAAAATTTTATAGAGATATTACATATGTGAATCAACCACATAGACGATAATTATTTTTTTTACCATGCTTATGGTCAAGCAATTCCAATTTGACCATGACGTCTTGCCTAAGTTTCGCAAACCGTACTCTAGCGTCATGTCGGCATCTTAGTACCAGCCTAAGTACAATTTAGAGTTAGAAAATGTACAACATACGAAATCTAAACATCCTTTAATGTAACTAATTCTAATTTAATATAGCAGTTCCTGATGTAAACATCATCTTGAAGTCACCTGTATTCGTAATTGCCCGTTTCAACTCGGTATAAAGACTCATGCATCGCCTAAACGAATATTACAGATATGAGTATAGTGGTTAATAACTACGTCAATAAGCCTCCTTTAAACAAGTGAAAATATAGCTTTGAAATTATCGATACCGCGTAACCATATTCTTCATCATCCATTTCCTTGACTTTTAAGCAATAAGCCTAGTAATTAATAAGCCAAGAACATTGTCAACATTTCGCTGTTTCTAGAATTGTTATAATATTACAGTCATTCAAAGAGCAATCCTTTTCATACCAGATATTCAAATTTAACATCGGCGTATTTCTTAATCGTCAACCGAGTATCCGGAATTGCCTGAGCCAAAGTACGATCGATATGAAGGTAATTAATTGACAATCAATCGTTTTCAAAGTTAGAATACATTTAGAAACATATGGATAAGTTGTATTATCATCAGCAAGTTATAAATTACTACAAGCGTAATAATGTAAGATTGATGCCTGAGCACTAACCTTACTCAAGTAGGTCATCAGGTCAGTCACGATCTGAAACATAAAGCAAATTCATATTTTCATGTTGGTAGCAGTATAATTTAAAAAAAATTAACAGATAATTTTGCTACAACTGTAGTGTTGACTGGTCCTTACCGGTGCAATGTTTCGAAGCAGCTGCGTTCCAAATCTCTCTAGATTACTACAGTATAATAGCGTTATAAATGACAAATTTAACTTAACATGATCGAGTAATGCTACCTAATTTCTAGTCACGATGACTTACAGCTTTAAAGCTAGCATATTACAGGGTAAATAATAAGGTGGTGATAAATACTATTTTACATAATCTCACCGATGAGCTTCTCCAAATCTTGAGAAAGCCAAGCTCGCATTTGCTTGTGGTTCTTTTACACCGATTGCAGCAAAAGCTTCGCCAAATGCTATAGATGAGAGTAAGGAAATTCTTACCAATAACTACTTTATTTCCTGATATTCACAGTAAGTGCCAATCAGGCAAAGACTTTATTCATTGCATATATTTTACCTTTATGAGCAGCAATTAACTTAGCTGTACTTTTCATCATTGCTCTAGCTCTCTCGATCAAGCCTATAATCAAGGCAGATTATGAATTAGTGTGATTCAACATGATAATTGTCTTTCAATAGAATGTGAAAGACTAACTCACCTAAATAAATACTAGAATTTTGTTGTAATTCTTCCAAACGCTTGACAAGGGTGTCTACAATCGCAAGTTATCATTAGTGAAACGATCGATACAACATCCTATTGACTTTATTGATTTTTAACCGTTTAAAATCATACGTACCATTGCATAAGATAGCTCTGCTCAAGCCAAGAGAGTCAGCAGTGGAAGAACTCATATTTTCTACAATGCGATGTTTGACTTTTTTCAAGACTGTAAAAAAAGTGTACATTTATTTAGTATTGCATGTGATTCGATGACACTACACAAAAACAATATTTCGTCATGTGTAAGTTATTTTAAAATATTAGGTTCAAAAAATGATGATGAAAGAAAAGTGCATTTATGCAGCATACGTGGACCATATCCAATTCATAAATTGTCATTTAAACCAAAATTACTTGAGAAATTATCTAGTTAATCATATTTTATATACATTGAATAGACATACTTTATGAAATCTTGAAAAATGTTAATTATATCTTAATTTTGGGACAATCGAGCATACGATCTATACGATGCGCTTTTACATGAATTATTACTACCTGTTATGATAAAAGTAATATTTAGCAGCAGCCATTAGATGCTAATTATAATCGCTGTGTACGATCTTTCAAACTGATATCTTAGCAATGTAATATCACTAAAACCAAGACATCTAGTTAATATCATGCCACAGTCGATACTATAGTATACTAAATAGCTCAAAATGATTTTACTTTAGATAAGACCCATAACAACGTGTGTCCGAACTAATGGGTAAATCAATCTTCAAGTATTTGTTAGAACAACCATGGTTCATCAATAATATCGGAAAAAAGATTTGTAGTTTACATTATCATAGAAGATATAGTACATCTTGTCAGCCACATGACCATTGTGCGATGGTGTAGAAGCTAATACAGTACAGTAAAATAGTAACGTAACCATATGTCCATCTATTCATATTAGAACTGTAGAGGTCTAAGAAGCATGTTAATTGCCATTTCATTATAAATGCAAAAATTACACGTCTCTCATACTTGAACAGTAGTTTATAACTTTTCAATTTTGTGGTAGTTAAAGTTAGGAATTTGGGTAACTTTATTGCACTATTAAAAACTACAGCCTATTTATTAATAATATAGAATAGTCTCATCATGCCATGCAAAAAGCTATAATAAAGCTTACTTTGGAAAAGAACTTACAAGAAGGATGATCGTTTAAGCAAATTTCAACTATTGTAGTTATTGTATTCAGTAGATTGGCGGTTTATAATACTACCACCGATTATGAATTGAACTAGTACTCTCTTCCTTACCTATGTCTAGTGTTTTTCCTTGCTTTGGATCGCCTTGTAGTTTAACATAATTTATGGTTACTTCACCCTATTGAAGTAATTGAATTGACAATGAAGTCTGATTCAAGACATCCTCAAGTACATATTTTAACCTTATCGTTTAAGGCAAACTGTACCATTTACAGTACAAGCTATATCACGTTCTCATCATTCTACTAAGAGTATGTTGATAGAGGTTTTCCCTTTTTCTAATTGTATCATTTTCATCTTGTCTATTCGCTAAACAATTTACGGTATCCAATTTCAAATGCCGTTGTACGCTATAATGCTACTATTACACAGTAGTGTTACCATGTAATATCATTTGTTTAATTTAATCAATGAAATGGACTCGTATATCGCTATTCGATAAAATTATGGAGTCGTCAAGAAGCTCTGACTTGAAGATTGAGTTTTTACTAGCGTAAGTAGATAGCAAAAGATTGATACAGCAATAATCATAATCTACCCGGATGCGTTAACATAATCCACTTGGACGGTAAAATTGTATTCTGCATACAGTATTGACATTTACTACCAGATGTAGGCAACTATCCATACGGTAATTTTCAACATTTTCATTTTTTCCTTTGGATTAAAAGGAATACTCGGCATACTTTATAACTATGACGATTACAATTGATGTGAATGGAATCAATATACTGTTAAGGGGTGAAAAATTGGAATGTGTTTGTTTAACAAGCATTTTCTTCATCGAGTTCTTTTAACAATGATTGTTCTACCTCTATCGCTAGAGAAATACAACCAAGATATACTGGACTACTATTAAGTATATTTTTACAACTGTTTTCTTCATCGAGTTATCTCAACAATGCTTGTTCTACCTCTATCGCTAGAGAATACAACCAAGATATACTGGTCTACTATAAGTATATTTGTACAACTGTTTTCTTCATCAAGTTATCTCAACAATGCTTGTTCTACCTTTATCGCTAGAGAATACAACCAAGACATACTGGTCTACTATAAGTAAATTTTTACAATTATTACTTTCATCGAGTAATCTCAACAATGCTTGTTCTACCTCTATGGCTAGAGAATACAACCAAGATATACTGGTCTACTATAAGTATATTTTTACAACTAATACTTTCATCGAGAAATCTCAACAATGCTTGTTCTACCTCTATCGCCAGAGAATACAACCAAGATATATACTGCTATACGGTATGGATATTATTTTCTTGGGGGGAACCTACCTTGATTGCTTGAATATTTTTAGCTACTTCTACTTTAGTTTTGCCTTTGACCGAGATGTTGTTGACTCCGACAATTTCATCGCCGGCACTTAATGTGGCATCTTTAGCAGCAGGTGTATTATCAAAGACTTGTACAACGTATAAGCAAGGGCATAACGGCGCACCACCTCCAATACTGATACCAATTAAATTTTTGGCATCCTTGGTTAATTTGACACTGCCAGGAATGCCGACATTTCTGTTACCATCATCCGCCATGGATGATCGTTAAAAAATCAACATCAGGAAAACAATAGATTAGACGATAAGATAGCAAAATGGAAGAATCAAAGTGAACAGAACTGCAAGAATTGGATGGAAGTAGTAGTCACGGCGATTGTCTTTCCTCTGACTCATTTGTCATCAGCAATCATTTTATTACCCTCATGGAATTAGTCTAGACTGTCGTATCGATTGGAAGCGTATGATGACTAGCATGGCCTTTTCTTACTATCGATATACACGTTTATTTTATACTGCAAGGAAACGATGCTATTGAAAAATAGGCTAGGCTATCTGACAAGACGTTTTTTTATACAATTATTTCTACTGTTCATCCACTCCTGTACTAGTAGAATATTCTTTGAATTGATGATGTAGCCTAGGCATGTTGTATCCTTTCCATTGGGGTTGATAGGCAATGCAATCAACTGGCCAACGAGAACAGTTACCAAATCCTTACAAGACAACTAGTATGTTTGCGATCAAGAGAAAATCTCTCTTTTGAAATGATCTCAAATTGAGGAATAAAATAAGAGATAAAAAAAGGAACATAAAAGAAAGAATAAGGAATGAGTTGGTCATCCATGGATTGACCAAGTTGAATAACCAAGTTGAGTATGGATGAAAGGATAGTAGGGAAAGTTCATGATGATGATTAAATTGGTTGGACTCTTATTACCTTGGATCAAGTTCGTACTCCATCCCTTGATTGAACGTTGGTAAAGATCGATTATGATGTGTTGTTGGCGCTACCCAATTGCTCATATCAATTGTCTAATTGGAGAATACAAGCCAAACGGAATGGATGGAACAGTCGGGATTACTTCAATAACAGATTGCTGCTTGGAGCAGATGTTTCTTGTTTGATATAAGTGACGTAAAAGAAGAGAAGATTTTTAGCTTTGGTTGCCTGCCCTCTAGTCATCAACCTTCAGTACGCCATCCAGTCGGCAAGTCTATACTGGCTGCAGCGTTTTCATTTTTTGTATGACGAAAGCCTGGAGAGGACACGTGATCAACGCGGTACGGTCTTACAGTTCACAGTGTACAGTACGCCATACTGTACACGGTACAGTGCTGGGGCAGACCAGGGGTCTGATCATCATTTCCCGACGTTTCAAACTAGACCAAAACGCCAAGTTTTCATTTTACGACACGAGTTGTATACCAATCGATTGAAAATAGAATGCTTGTTCTGAATATAGCATTGATATCGATAAAAGGTATGCCAATGGACTAATATTCGCAATGAAAGTGGAAAGTTTGGAATAAACTGTGGCGTTTTTTTTACTGTAGACGTAACGTGCTTTTACAGTCGGTGACGTCCTCCGTCACAGTACATTGTATTGTAATGTAGTGTACTGTACTGCACACTGTACACTCAGTACGCGGGGAGCATGAGTCATTTTCAGACAGACGGATGGCGCCTCCCTGTCCATTATTCGACCTAAGGGAGTTGTTGCTTTCGTCTGCATCCTCTCAAGGGAAATCAGTTTTAAAGTGCATGGATAAACCTTGGGTCGATTAACGGATTGCTTAGTACCTGTTATGATTATGATTATCAAGCTGTAGTACATTGCAGGAGGAGCCGCTGTGCTACTCATTAATTATCTATCAATGCATTAAAATAATCTTCCAATTCAATCGCTTCGATACAAGACATTCCAGGCAGAAATTCTGATATTTCGTTGCCTTTAATGCACAGGGTTCCATTTCAATACGATAGAAATCCATGGGCAATTTTGAATAAATAGTGTGGAAAATAAATTTCAAATTCAATGCTTGATAAATTACTGTAAGTGGACAGTACAGGAAAAAAATTTTTAATTTTACAACAATTTTCAGTCATTCTAAATAAGCATCTACGAGGCATTAATAGCTCGTATCGCACATTTCAAATCTGTAGAAGAGCTCCACACATAGTTTAATTTATTCTCTGTTAAGATTTAAATTAATTACATTCGAGGTATTGCCCATTTTCGGCTCAGATTCATTCAATTTGAAGAACGAAAACACCGACTTCGCTACAGCTTTTGCTGCTCCTTTTCTTGATTTTATTTGAACAAGGTTAGATGAAAACATGACAGCCTTAGTCTGTCAATCTGAAACAGCTACGTACACTCGCATATTACAGTAGGGTAATGCAACAATTCTCAATTTGAACAGCTTTTAGTATCCAGAAAATGGAAGGGATTCAATTCGGTGCACCTGCAATATCCAATTAAAATTTTGTCCAGATGACTTCATTCAATATCTCCTGATGACATCGTTTTTGATCCAATCAACTCTATGACAAAAATACTGGCTGATTTACCCAGAAACACTAGCCCTCGATTCTTAAGGGTAAAGTCTTACACCAAATTCATGACAATCTTATCAAAGTGTGTATGCTGTACTGTAAATAAATATTAGGAATACGTGATAGAATAATAACGTCCCCAAGTTAAATCACGAATTGGATAAACTTAAGGAATGTTCATCTACAGTAATTACATCTGAAAAGTCCTATTTCGATGACCTATAGGCTTGATCATACTATCGCATTCGATATAGCCAAAAGTGGCGCAAAGCCGACATCAAGTCAAGGTGTTTGACAGAATGTGTCTGTCCTGGGATAAGCATTTGTGTGCGTTGTTAATCTACTCGCAACGATTCAGTAATACTTTCAGCCAAATAATACTGCACGACAAATGACATTTGCTCCTTGATTGTCCTAATATATCCCTTAGTGCATGATGCAAGTCCTTATTATGGCTATTTACATACTTGATTTAATATGATGGAGGTGAAAATCACCGGTAATGTTCCGTAGAATCATAATCTAGGGTATATTGCGGGATAATGATTCAAGGGGAATGCATTAAGTTCTTCAACTCAAAACGTATGCTAAAATACGAACAACTCCTTACGGACTACGCAAAAATCCATGACACTCTTCAAAAGGTCTACCTGCACCAATTAAAATTTACGATATTCTGTCCAATAATCGTATAAAATAAATTACGGAACACCTTATCACAGTTGTCATGCTGATCGGGTTGATTAACTAAATGCGAGCTTGAGCTAAAGTACTCTTGCTTAATTAAAAGATAACAATGCATGGATTTAAAGTAGGTCAATAAACACTTCATACTTTACTTTCAGAGTCATCCTTGCTATTAGATCGCGGATACAGTGAAAAATAAAAATACCAGTTAAGCATCCGGTCCATTTTTGCCGACAGCAATTTGATGAATATTCGTGTATAGATATATATATATAGTATATGAATCAAAAATAGCAATCATATACTAAATACTGTAATTGGTATCACATCAGGTCTTCATTTACTCATTATCAACCAATAGCATGCAAAGAGCATAAATATGAAATGTTAAGCATTCCATTTTTCTAAGGTCAAAATATAAAGGAAATCCGCTCATGTTACAAAAGAATCGTCGTTTATAGAAAGTTTAGAATGTCTATAAATATTTCATGAAATACAACAGATATACATTAATATCAATAGGAATAGTTTGATTTATTAGTATCCACGGTGACAATGATACAGTATTTGCATTTCAAATGATCTCCCAAAGTCTGGAAATAAAGGCGACAGAAAGATTATTCTCCTTACCACAAATACACAATTAACAATACATCGAAACCTGATTAAAATTAAATCCAACTTAGAACTTGCTCAATTTCAACAAAACACCCTGTGGCTATACGGATTGACTATAAATGTACTAGATAAACAAGCATATAATTAATTCATCTGCCACTCGTTTCCGTAACGAAATCAAATGGGTTGATATTTATTCGCACCTTTATCATCAACTTCCTTCATATTGAACTAATATCGCTACTAAAGCTGTCCATTTTATGCTTTAGATGTTACAAACCATAAGTACATACATAATGACTATAATTCCAAACTGTAGTTTGTAGAATAATGACGGATATCGATTCTCTCAAAAGTAAGCTGTTAACGTTAAGTAATACCATAGAAGAATAACTATTCTGATAACCTAAAGTAAATCTTGCACATTAATACTAAAATAAGCGAGAGAAAAAAATATATTGCAATTTAATACAGTAACATTTATTTAACAATATTATTTAAAATATTTTTATAGTAGTTGTAATAATAACTCAGATAGATGAAAAAGGATTATAGAGATAAAGAAAGGATCTTTATTAAACAAATAGATATGCCTAACTAGGAGAGATCAGCTTTAGAATAGAGCCAACGTAGAGACGCAACAACTGCGCCAGTTACATCTAATAGCCACATATATAGTGCAGTACAGTAAGCGTACAATCGTGTGATATATCGTGATAAGTTACTGACTTAGATAATAGTCATTAAACGAGTATGGATGAGTAGGCATACAGTAGATCATACGACAGTAGTTGCGCAGGTAATTAGGATAGGTATTCTGCTTAGTTATCGTACCAGAGCTGCAAAATATTCGTTAAATTTTAAATTTTACATTAATATATTTATAAATTTCAATTGAAGCCTAGAATAAAGTATTTACTTACAGTAATCGAACCTTTCCTAAGTTCTGAGAACCATGATCTTTGCCAACCACCCCAAAAAACTCTAAATATGGTTATAAACAAAACATTGTACGATGTATCAATCAAATTTTAATTTCACAGGAATGATGAATCAGTGATTTCTGAATTTATAAGTAATTGATGTCTTTAGTAATTCGATATACAATCCTTAACTTTTAACTCTTCTTAGCAATGTAACTATGTAATATCTTAGATTCTTAATAATATTTAGCTGCTTCTAGAATATATATTTTAGTTTTTAAGGACAATTTTCTTGCCCATTAACGATATTCAGCTACGATTAAAAGAAAACGATTATCGAATTAGGAAATACGCCCTGAAAAAATTTTCATTTTCAAGCATGTCGCATTAGCTACGGTTATCACATTGTAGGTTAAAGTACATATAGTTAACTCAATTCACTTTTTGTTATGTATAGTATAAGCTACCAATAGCGGATATATCATAGATTAGCTAGCTATTATTAAAGCTTACTTGAATCATAACGATTTTTGATAGTGTTTTATATAAAATAATTTGAAAAGAATCAAGAATAATTCGCGAATCACGCAATCTCATTAATACTCGTACACGCAAAAATAGCTTGAGTTAAGATTATAAATCGCATTTTTATGTATTCACATTTATCATTCTCTCTGAAGCCACCAAGAATTTAATATTTTATTGGTACATATCAGAATATAATTGGAAAGGTCTTCCATGCGCTTACTGATTATGCTCTAATTAAATCTTGTAACAATTCCAATCATAACTGTTATCATTAATAATTCTATATAATTTACTTTCATTAAAATCAGATCTCTATTAAGTCCATTAAAGATATGATAAGCCATCAATGATTTAGTAGTTCTTGTAATTTCATGCAATATCCGTATAATAAAATATCGATATCTCTAATCAGGATATCAGAGAAATTAGCCAGGAAAGGCTGCCTGACTATAATAAAAAGTAAGCCCATGTAAGCAATTGCCTTTCTACCAAAGAATTTAAAAGTTCTATTTTTAATAAAGCTTTGCAATCAAATAAAACAATATACGAAAGGTAATAAACTATACTCTATTTTCTATCATTGATATAGTAGTAACAGTACAGAATATGATTTCGCAGGTAATATCCTCAATATTTATCATTAACACGATAATTGACGATAATTAATATTGAAACCTATACTCGAAGATAACATTAAATTTTAATTTCTTTCCTAGATGAAAGGAATAATGCTACGATACTAACAGTAGATAAGATATTGAAATAGTGATTAAGGTCTAAATTGTAGGAAGTTCAAATCCTCTAGATTTTCAGGCAAAGCTTAAAAACGACTTCCTGTAGGCAATAGGATAATAACTTGAGTAATGCAATATTATATCGGTACTAAATTTTATAGTAGCAAACTACTACATCCCTTAGTATTTGGAATAAATATTGAAGCTTTCATTAAAGTATAACCTTTCGTACTCATAGCCTAGAGTATTTCATAAATAAAAAATATTTTTTCATCAAGTTATTTCGGTATTTCATGCTATCTCCGGAAAGCTGTTATAATGACAATTCACTTTAATTGCTAATCTAAATTTATAGTATTATTCTCGTTGACTGTAAAAACTAAGCAGATATGTCAGCGCTTATGGGATTTTCACGTCTTGCGGCTAATCTAATACCGTTATAAGAAATACAAAAGAATTGCAAAATTATCCGTTGTTATGGTATTTGTCTATTACATAGAACTTAGAAATCAACCTAAATACCGCTGTGGATTTGCGTCATAAATTTGCCAGAGGAAATACCAAATCTTATGATATTACACAATAAATTCCAAATCACTCTTTAACAAAGGAATTTACGCAATACAACATCCTCATTTATAATAGGAATTTCAATCAGCTACCATCTGTATAGAATCTGTATATGTACGAGTACATGTATATTACGGTATATCATACAAGATTAAAAATTATTTTCAAACAACTATATTGCTGGAGGTACAATTCGCCTAATAGCTTCAAACAATAATCTGAGTAGAGAATAAATATTATGATAAACAAACTTATTGATGAAAATGGCCGATGAATATTTCAAATATTCTTTATTAGCCAATATCAAAATTTGCTAAAGTATAAGATAAATTAAGTGAGACTGTGAAACTTATTTCTTTTCTTTCCCGCAGTTTACCATTTTCCAATCGGTTAACGTTTATTAAATTGATTGTATAAGTTCCAAAGGTCAGCATCAACAACAGCTATTGTCATTCTATTTATGACCGAAATTGGAATAATAAATTTATATTTTGTCAACTTATTCATATATTAAATACTTTTACAGTATACTAGACTATGATTTCAATGTATAAAATTAAATTTAGATATGGAAAAAGGTCGTTTTTCTAAGGGATAATTCTATCTAAAAAGTAATAATTTCTGCCGAGTTTCAAATGAATGGAATCTCATTAAAAATACTTTATCTTGCTGAATTTAGTACTGTCGTTAATGAAAACATCCAATATTATTGCATAGTTATGCAAAAAGTAGCTCATTATAGTTCATAAATAATAATTAATCATTCTTGTCATGGTAAGTCATTACTTATTGATTTATTGCAATGATTAAATATAACTATCTACAATTGTATGAATCTTCTCTTATTCATTTTTGGGTGAAAATAAATTTAAAAGCATATACTTGGAACGAACTGTCTCTATTTCTGCTACATTACTATCAAGTTTAATAACTAATCCCTTAAAGCCATCATAATACCAATTATATTCAATTTCTTATTCAATTCAAAGGTGAATCTTTAATGGTGTCCTAATCTATGTACATCAGCGTCGTATATTTATTCGTGCCTTACTAAAGGAACAATATTTATTACGTACCTTTATTATGGCAGAATTTAATTTTTTGATGAACTTTAAAAATTTGTTGTTCAATTTCAATAGCAGCAAGTAAGTATGTTGTTTGCAAGTAGATTAAAGTTAGCAGATTGTAGAACAATAAATAGAAAATAAAGATAATATATGTCTATCACCTTTCAATCAGCTTATTTCAATAGATAATAATAAAATTTCAAAGGGTTTTCTAACCGGTTTAGTCAATATTAACTATTCAAAATTGATGAAAATAATATTAGCTATTGTTAATGATTGATATAGTCAACCATGATTAAGATGAGATTACAGATACTATTGCCTTAGTTGACGAAATCGTCATTCCTTTCAATTATCTTTTGGTGATAACTTTTCATATCATAAAATAAAAAATTTGACTTAATAATTTTCTAAATCTATCAAAGTAAGGAATCTCGTAATAGGAGAAAAAAGAAGAACAGAAATGAATCTTAATCATAGTTATCATTCTGCTACAATGATCACCAACATGACTATGCATCAAGATACACCTGAAAAGCCACTATCTAATCATGCTGATAATGATTCCCTCATAGTAATCCAATCGACATTAATCGAAGTAATGTGGTGTATAACTGGTGGAACTACCATCTTGACCAATTTAGGTATACTATTAATCATAGGCTGGTATCGAAAATTACGTCAAACTCCACATGCACCTTACATGATTAGCATGTTTATTGGCAGTTTATTATCCTCTATTTTCTACGTTTTACCTCGCCATATTAAGGCTGGTAATAATCACATGATGCAATATCCATTTCCATGCTCAATTATGCCCTATTTAGGATCATCATTTCTTGTCAATTTAAATTTTCATATTTGTATCTTAACATTAAATCGCTACCTATCTATTGAATTTCCATTTCGTAATTTATATTTTTTATCTCACAAAGTGAGTGTATGTATCTTGATTTGTCTATGGCTGTTGACTGCGGCGATAGCAGCATTACCTTTAATGACATTTGTTCAATATAACAGCTCAAGATGTGCGGTATATATTATCGCTGAAAATGAAGATGCACGTGTATCACAACAGGTTTACTTAACAATCATTTTTACATGTTTATTAATTTTGCCATTAGCATCCTTTCTACCATGCTATGCTCGTATCTTTTATATCGTTAATGTTCATGCACGACGTATGCAAGGCGAAAATGACGGCCATGGTCATCAATTATCGCTCAATAGGCACAATATTAAAGCCGCTAGACAAATCATTATCTTAGTGACTTTATTCTTAATATGTTATTTACCTTTTGCCATTACCTTTATGATACTAAATGTTCGCCCTGGTTTAATATATACCACTACTGAACTGAATATTATTCATTTATTACGATTCGTCGCCTTTTCTTATCCTGCTGTTAATCCAATCTTATTCGCTTTCTATACTGCTGATATTAAAATTGCGATTAAAATGTCTTTAAGTAATCTTTCCAACCAATGCTGTAAACGATTTCGTCATCACTCCTATCAATTATCAACTTAAGGATATTACTAGGTAAGAGCTGAAGATAAAAGAGACCAATTATAATTAGTGCACATAAGCATAAAATGGATGATTTATTTACAGTTAATGGAAGTTAGATATTACTATGTAGTGTAGTCGTTATAATTAATAAGTTTTCTAAGTAATAAGGACGACATTTAGAAGAAAGAAGCATGCTAAAATTTTTCTATCCCTGTACCCAGTAACTAGATGACATTTATCAATGTTACATTTAGATAAATTAAAAATTTATAACCCTTCAATGTATTAGCTAATTCTCAATTTATTGGAGTGTATATCGATTGGAATGAATAAATTTTGTACTTACTGCAAAGATTATTACCATCTTTACATTAGGTACTCGTGTATCTGCCTACTTTTATTTCGAACATATTATCAAATTACGCCTTACCAAACGATAATGCCCATCCTGCACAATAAAATTCAGCTGAAAATATTAGATAGTCAGTTTTCTTACCGAAAATATAGTTGAAAACTTGAATAGACCGATTGATCCTAATATGTTTTCTAATACTTTAAATTTCAACTAAAAAGCATTAGTACTTTAAGTTGTTTATGACAGCTATTTTTGAAGGCACCGAACAAAACTCAAATTTTCACTACGGTCATGATAATTTTATTCTCTAACGATAATTTGTCTCGCATTGTTTTTTATTAATTTCTATGGTAAAACCACAGCACAATCAGATGTGAATACTGATATTAATATCAGTATACTAGTACTGATTATTCGTACGACAAACTGTTCTTGCCTTTTATGCAGGTACGCCTTTATCTATTTTAGCTGGATATAGAATTGCTTCTATATCATACTTCGATATAATTACCGATTTTCTAATTCGATCTATTTAGTCAAATAGCAATAAGATCTTGCGGAAATTCTTAGTACTGTGAAGCCCATCTTATTAGTCTAGTCTGCAAAGTTTCCAGATAGCGATTTTCTGTTCGTCATCATGTTATGTTTCCAATAAAGTATTTTAGCATTATAACCTCTTCTTTTCGGAATCAAAGCTACAGTATCCATTATACTTAGTCATTATGAGAATAATATTTTGATTGGAAATCCTCTAATAAGATAAATTTACTTCAAGTATGACTATTTTATTGTAGATATTGCTCAATATCTTCTATTTTATAGTCTATCCCTTCGTCTCGTCCTTCGTTTTCGGTTCGTTTCAGCTGATTTCTATCTAATATCTTTCTATTATCGCGCTTTTGCAGCCCTTACAGATATTTTACTCTTATACCGTTAAAAATCTGTCTGGTATTATCGAGGCAGACCGTGATACTATCAGTAAGCGAAACTAAAAGTTAGCAAATATTATATTAGCAACTTTTTGACTTGACTACAGTTGGAAATTTAATAGAATTGTGACTGTACATCCTTTCCGATAATACCAATTAAAATTAATGTCTGGCTTAGAATTATGACAGTAGAATTAATAAATAATATTTCATCGATTTTTATTTGTTCATCCGTATTACTACTTCAATACTGTAATTCTATCGGCTTATTGATCTTATGCTTTCATTGTTGACTGTAGATTATTGACCGTTTGTTAAACAATCGCCAGTATAGTTACAAGAATGGCAGGTGGCAATAATTTAAACTATACTCCACGTGCTTTAGAATTCGAGAATTGGAGAAGACTTGAAGAACCTTGATTAATATTAGCCAAATAATGACCATTTATGTTCTGAGCTACTCGTGTATTTTATGAAATATTCACAATTATTAAATTAATGAGCAGCTCTCATTTTTATACCCCGCATGTGCATGGCATATATGCATTATATTTAAAAAAATTGTGGATTATAGCTGCAATAGTTTATATGTTTTTGTTGTTTTCGTTGTATCGCAGATAAAGATTTCTTGTTTGCCTGTATTAGATCAACAGGAATTTACTATTGAGGTTGAAAAAGTAGTCCTGCGAATTATTGAACAGAAATAATTACAGTTCTTGTCTCGGTATTTCCGATTATTAATATTTCTTATTCGCTCTATGGAGAATAGTCTTTACTAGATAGTTGTATCTGGGCATGGAAAAGGAGTTTACAGCAATTTTTACATAACTTGCAGTATATCGGTGAATATTTCATCCTTTAAAATTTAGTGACAAACAATATTGGATAGCAGGCCGCAATCTCATCTTTTTGGCCTATCTATATCAGCTATGACTATCTTGTCTTTTGAAAGATAACCATATCAAACCGAAAAACTGTATCTTTACTAGTTATTACAGGAACGAAGGCTTTAGATATATTCCTTTGCACGTCATGATATAGAATATTGGTGTTCAATAAAGTAAAAGCACTGTGTATTATTAAAAATTTATAAACCTGAGCTGTTTCATTTTTAACGTGATTATGTATAGAATACCGGAAAATGCGACGAAAGCTTTAATTTTCAGATCATGTAAACCACTCTCTATGATCTGATTAAGAGTCATCTATACATCTATATATAGTAATCTACATTGATAATCAAATGATTGTTGCTAAGTTTACGATTAGTCAAAAATTGCCAAGGGCATAAAATTTCTCGAAACGCCAAGGCAGGGATTCCATGTATCTTTTTATCCGTTCATCAAGATCCAATAGCGTTCTACATTAAAAAAATACATCGCTTTTTATCACCAGAACTGTTATAGCAAAATGGTTCCAGATTGAACTTGAATGATCAATTGGGTATTGCACAAACCATCTTGGATCAACCGCATTTTGGTTCACTGAATATTAAATACTATGGTACTAGACTAGTAAGAAGTACTTGATTATAAATTAGGGCACGTCGATTGGCGGCCCTCTTAAAATTGGCATTTGTGAATTTGTTTATAGTAAGTCTGTATCACTTTTTGGCAGAGGCTATTACCCTGAGTCAGTGTTAATGAACTATGTATTAAATCTGAAAATAATTAGTTCCTGTTTTAATGAATTATAGACTTCATTCGCATAGTCTCAATACAAGCGACTAAAATCATTTAATAAACAATTTTAAGTTGTAATTATAAAATAGACTAATAGCATAGTTAAAATAAACTACATAATGTTCTTTCTCCCTGCATTTTAGGATTAAATGTAACTAGTATCTTAACTAATTCTTCTATGCTATTTTACTACTGCAATATAGTTTTACTTAATTAGTTTTTAAATACTTTGGCAATTGCTAACTTTCAATTTGCGATTAAAATAAAAAATACTTTATTATAATCGCTTGATCGTCTTCTAATTCATTTGTAGTAAAATTTTCATATTTAATGATTATGCTATTATTGAGAATAACTCAACATTAGCATAGTTCTGTATCGTACGTTAGCATTGCTTGCATTTGCTTAGGCTTCTAATATCGAAATATTTGTGGCAATTATTCTATAAAAGTATGTTAGTTTTCTATGACAAGCCTATAGCATAAATTCGTCTGACAAGATAGCTATCATTAATTAATAATTAGGGAATTATTATCGATCACTGAGGTAAGCTGCATCAGATGTCAAGTAGAATAAAACTCAATAATAAATACCGCAAATTGTAATAGATTCACAAAACATTTTTGTATTAACTCTCAATGTTGTCTAACTTACAAGTAAGTATAGGTTACTTTGAAAGTATATCATTCGCATTAGTCAGTTATACGTAGGTATTTAATTGACGGAAAATCAGTGTTTTCATGATCTTCAACGTTAATTTTAAAGAAAACAGTTAAAATTATAAACGCCATCAGTGAAGAGTCTTGAATTAAATCTATTACGAATACAGTATTTCATTCATTATAGGAATGTGATATAAATTTACTTGAATAGTAAATTTATATATAACGGGGCAAAATTGTAACTTTATCCAAAAATATTTACTGTGATTTGCTACTAGTATATTGATGTACGAGTATGAGTAGTAAAGGACTCAACCAACTTTTTTGAATGCAAATTTAATTTCTAAAACTCTGATTAGAAATTACATTACGCACAGTAATAACAGCTGTGGCACTATATTGAAATTAAAATGCTGAAAGACTTCATGATTTATGATTGAAATAGTTCGAAAATGGAAATGTTAGGGTAATGCGACGAGATATCATAAATTGGCATCAATACGTAAGTATGATATAGTGTATCTGAATGCTTCTGTATCGTAGTAATTGCTATGATACAAGATGGTATCATCGTGTACTGTACAATTGAATAAAATAACGTTTATAAATGAGGAGCTAGTATTGAGAGAATTGATTTAGGGGATGTGAAGATTGGCAAATTAAGCTGCTGGACGTAGTTTTAAAGACTCCCTTAAAAGTTCCGTTAAAAAATGCACTGTAGATTATGGAGTCTAAAGGAATAACTCCTTATAATGTTCAATTTCTTCCAACATGTATTTGATATTTAAAAACCATTTTTATTTATTGCACTGAGCTACGTAAGTACAATTCGTAAACTGGATAATATTTACAAGGAATTTCTAAATTTAAATTTTTTTGCTATTGATAAATATTATTATTTCAAAATAGATTTCATCTACTCTGGTTTAAATACCCTTCAGATTATGGTCTTAACAAAAAAGGAATATCTTACTTTACAAATCAACTGTACATCTTTATCTATCGAAATAACATCAGTCACTATGCTTTGTTAAGATTGATTATTTTAAATACAATTAGAACTGTTATCGCTATGAACTGGAGCATCTTACAGAAATTGAAGGATTCTATCAATTACAACATTTATAAATACTAAACGTTATAATTATGGAGATCAGAGTATCAACGTTTAATAGAAGCAAAAAGCTGTTCAATGGTGATGATTTTAATCCATTAATCATAAACTAACTCCGCATATAAATAGAATATTGTAGTAGATTTATCATACGTATATGAGAAATGCTTTATATATGGTATAGCTACACAGTGGTAGTCTCACATATTTTACATCTATTATGATCATGTATATTTTTAATACTTTAGGTTTAATGCCACACGCATGGAGAATCGCACTCCGAGTAAAATAGCGCAATTTCTAATATCTCTTAGGATAAAATAATATGCACATTTGTCATAGTTTAGGCATTCAGTCTTTCTAGTACTTTCAATCCTATTTTCATGTATGCTCTTTATGATTAGGACAACCCATCATAAGTAATTCTGTTTTCTTTGCATATATATTTGGTCAATTGATGAATTTTACAGCACCTTAAGTTCATTTCTAATGGGTTGAGGTAGGCATAATTTGTCAATATTTGCATAGTCCACATATCGACGTACAGTCCGTCTGCAAAGATCCTCTAGACTTACAAATTTCGATCCGCGTATGCCCAATTGCATTTCACTTTCAGCAGCTGTTGAAGCGATCATCGGATAGAGTTCAGAATTAATATCCAATAAGTCGTCAAATGCAGTTCCCAAGAATGAACCATTTTTAAAATAACTTAATTTACCGACATTCATGTCTAACAATACTCCAATAGTGGTTCCAGCGTAAAATGTATCGGTGAATTTAGTAGGTCTACCATTATGGAATAGATAACCTTTATAATTTAGGCCCCAGCTTTCACAATCAGTACCTAATATATCTATGTATTCGTAGTTGTTGGTGCGTAATTTTGCTTTCTTAGTGCCAACGCCAACCATTACTGATGATCCAAATGTTGGCTCACACAATGTAACTTCCCAATAATGGAGACCTCTATCAAAGCCTTTACTGCCACGTACTGCCGCTGTGCCAGTGCTATCAATAACAGGATCAGTATAAAAGTAGGCGCCTTCTCGACGCGAACACAATTCGACATCAGGAGATTTGTCGTCAATGTTCCACGTCCAATTGTCAGGGAAAGCTTCTTGAATTGGTCCAATCGCACAGGTTGCAACTAAGTCAAATACAAATATCCAATTTTGGTTAATCTGATGATAATATCGAACTTTTTTTATCTTCTACAAATGAAAATCATTAACGATATCCTGTACGTAGGCGCATTTAAGGTATTAATTATTAATCATGGACAGTGTTGGGAAGATACTTTATTCAATCAAGCAGGTTTTATAACTGCAAACTACTAGATTGATGTATGCCGAGCTATAGCAGTACAATTCAATATTGTTCACTTCGGAGAAACAACTTTGTATACTATGATGTTAGCGATTGATATCACATACTGCTGCTTTGTCTACAAAAGCTGTTTTCAAAGTTTACAGCTATTGTAGAAATAATGGTAAAATATAAAGAATGATTGAAAGTTTACAATCAATAGTAACAACTTACCCATTTTGATAGCTAAGATATTTAATGTGTGAAAGAAACCACAAATAGATCGCTGCAAGTAAACTTTTTCTTCAACGAAAGAGTAAACCTAGAAATTATTACAATGAATTAGGATCTTGTCAGGTGCCGGTGTGCGAATAGGATAAGTTCTTCCATCCAGTTAACAATACAATATCAGTACATAGTATTGTTTTTATCCTCAAGACAGGTTGAAGTATATGAACAGAATAGTGGTGCTTCATCCTTCTTCGGCCAATTGAAGAAGTTAAGAGAGAGAAAAGTGGATATTAAACTACAGTTGGTGTTATCAACTCAATACCGAAATCATTTTACTTATCAGGCTATCGTAGTTAAAATGACTTAATTTTACTTCCACACGCAGATGACATTGCATAATTGGCGGCAAATACTTCCGTACTATTGCATACTTTATAATTCTTGTAAACAATTGCACAATGGGCAAAAGTATCAAGGATCGAGCTTAGTAAGCGATACAAGCAGGATTTCAAGCATTAACTAACATGAGTAGTTAACAATAACATTGTACAGTATCTTGTGTGTCAGAAGATTCGATTACGTGCTATCTATTGGAAATTGATTGTGTACAAGTCACTTGGATGGTAGCTGCTGCTTATGCTATCCAATTTTACTATCCGCTATACTAAGGTGCATTATTCAACAACGGTTTGTACTACTCTTATTCTTGGTTACAGTAATTGAAGTCATTTAGTAGCATTGAATGCGAGTTGAAGCAGTTTAAAATACTAATCCGCTGATAGAGTCTATTGATTCTTAGCCTACGCGTATTCAAGTTGCATTATCACCTTGTACACATTACATGACTGGATATTGCTTTCATTGATGGTTACCATGACCTACCGTAGTCTAGTGATAAGGTAGAGAACATTGAAGACTATGCCTACAGTAGTCCAACTACAGCAAAAGCTGAAATAGTAGCCATTATGTATTGTAGTTGAAGAAGAAGATACTACAGTAGTGTCGGTCAGCAAAATTGAAATAGAGCAGAATGCGATGCTTACTCAATCAATCATTGCTTTTAATCATGAATTTCTACATTATCTATCTATCATCATTTTGAGATTACGTTTAACCTACCCTTTACTTCCAAGGTTGAACAAATAATGGCAGTGATTTTTGTCCTAGAGTGACCGTTTTCGTTTTAGCCTTGAGTACTTGCAATGAGGCTACCAATGCCTAAAATGGATAGTAATACAAAGTTGAAGTGATGATACAACACTTTTAGTTTGTAGCAAGAGAAAAAAAGTGAATAGTAATACTTCAACTTGGCGGTAATCAATTCAAGTTGTACTAGCGAATAAGATTCATCATCAACTCGTTTTAGCTGCACTTGACACTCCTTTTACAGTCTACTAGCGTATTCTATACAGTACAGTACAGTACGATCGACCCTAGTACAGTATTGTATAGCCCAACAGGCTCGGTGGCCAATGACTGTCGAGTAACACCAGTTTAGAATGGAATGCGTCAATATTGAGCCCGGGACAGATTTCACCTGATCTGCAGTGCTACTGTCATTGTAGCCTAATCTGACGTCATTGGCTGGCGGTCAAACGTATTGACTGATGTCATTGAATTACTGTCAATTAATGACTGGTTTTCTAACAGGATCCACTCGACCCACAATGTGGAAAATTGTACTGTAAGCTACCAGCGACTGCCAGATACGATCCCTAACGTCTACAGTCCATGTACTGTCACTTAATTTAAAGACTGGTTTTCCAACAGGAACCACTCGACCACAGTGTGGAAAATTGTACTGTAAGAGTGTAAGCTACCAGCGACTGCCAGATACGATCCCTAACGTCTACAGTCCATGTACTGTCACTTAATGACTGGTTTTCCAACAGGATCCACTCGACCCACAGTGTGGAAAATTGTACTGTAAGCTACCAGCGACTGCTTGATACGATCCCTAACGTCTACAGTCTATGTACTGTCACTCAGCTTACAGTATCGTACTGTACAAAGGCAAGGTACTGTATCAAGAACAACAGTAAGCGACCATTGTCTCTAGTGTACGGTACCGTACTGACAAGATAACGGTTTTGTGGCACAAACTTGAAATGCAATTTTCCTATTTACTCCAGTATACAGTACTGTACACTGTACAGTAAGTCTAGTGGATTCGAACTTCTCCCATGTTGACAAAGTTGGCTGATTATGCATGCTAACTCAGCGGAGTCAAAGTATCGCCAATCGGTAGTCAATTAAATTGTAGTTGGGAGCGCCACTCAATCACTTTGACGTCCGTATGGACAGTAGAGTACAGTCTATTCCAACTTGTCCCATGTTGACAAAGTTGGCTGATCATGCCTGCTGACTCAGCTGAGTCAAGTTGCGTTCCTGGGTAGTAAATTAATTTCCAACTATCAATAACATTGACGTACGCATGTAAAATGACTTCATCAGTGACGCACGGAATGGGTGACACGCCAAGCGTCGACTTCAACCTATTACGGCAAAACCCAATAGTCATACTGATAGAGCAGAACGTGAAGCGACAAATGGATGACAACAGTCATGGTCATCTGATTGAGATGACAGTACTGCTGTAGCGGCAGTAGTCGATGGCAGTAGATCAACACTAAACTGGATATGAAACATGGCCAGGGTAAAATGTGAATTTCAGTTTTGTTACTTTATCTCGACTGTCGTACATTCTCCATGTCCAATTGAGCACCAAGTGGTAGTATGATATTGTTAAAATGGATAAGATGGCGTTGACGTTCTTTGTGAAGATACCGTAAGACTAAAACCATTTGACCATTTGGATTGATACTACAGTAAATTAGCCTTACTAACAAATAATTTGGCTACATTGATGACAAAATTACATTGCATATCAACACATCAAACACTAAAGCAGATCGAGTAATGCAATGACTAAACGCTTAAGCAACAATCAATCAAGCGTCCGTTGAACATAACGATGTTCTTGAGTAAAAAGTGATTCACAAAACTAGTAATCATCAGTACAGTTGACGGTTGGTGTCGTGTTTCAGTTTTATTTGAATATTATTGTAGAGATCTTTACTGTTCTAACATTCATCATAATTCAGTATCTTTAGTCAAACTTACAGTGCTTTGGCCAAAGTAGATTGCCGATTTTCTATAAAACGATTATTCAATATCGACGTCGACTTGAAAATTTTCCAGTTGACGGTGCAAACTGATAACGAATCAATATACCAATGACTACGATAAAAGAAAGATTACTCAGTTATCAGGCTGGCTCGCTGACAAATTGAACTGATGGTGGGGATAATGCCGACTAACTATCATCGATCCAGTGATGACTACTAGAAAAATTGTTGCAAAGTTTCTCTTTTGCCTATTGAAGACTGCATGAAATGTACACGCATTGAAATGATTAACTGACTAATTTTAATTGATGGAAACGCATATAAATAGTAAATAAATTTTGAGTCATTGCCTTTGAATATCGTTGCTATCGCATCCAGTACTGTAATATTGCGCAATAACTTATCATTGTTGTTGTTATTATTGACAACACTGTACGGGACTGGAGATTGAAGCATCAAGTATGGTTTAACTACTGTATCCTGTAGTACGGTATTGTACTATACACTACTGGACAATTTCACCGTTCAAGTGAGTGACAGGAAGAGCTCGTCCAACAAGTTTTTTAAATTTGAAAGATAAAAACAATAGGGAAGCGTAGTAATAATAATAAATAAAGTAGCACGGCAAATACAAGTAATACCGTACAGTACTGAGTGTACAGTGTACAGTACAGTACTGTACAGTACAAGGCGACACTATCAGTCTTCATTAGTGTATTGTAACCCCTCTATGAGAGGGTCTCTACTGTAGTCTTCATGATCCAAGCGCCGACAAACGATTTTCAAACAAACCAATCTTTTGTTCATTCAATGTTGATGCTCCTCGCTACAGTGTAGTACAGGAAAATAGGAAGATATTCAGTCCAGTTTTAAATGAACTGAATGATGGCTAGCTAATTCATATGCTGTAAGCACATCATAATCTGTCATTTTAGCTAGCATTTAAGTGGAAATACTTGAAACGATGTAGGACGACGAATTCTACAGTAGTCAATAGCTTGGTTTTCAAATGCGATTTCTTTGATTGAACAAATACTGAATGAATAATGCATTGTAGTCGATGGGCGGTGGTGCTTGTCACGTGCCTTTGTTAAAAGTATCAAAATTGAAGATTTTCTCTTCATGCCAACCGTCTAATTACTAGTCATTAAGTGTAAGTCGGCCAACTAAGGTATCATTTTGTTTCATTGGATTCAATTTAATATACAGTACACTCTATGTATGAGGTAGATCAGTTCAGGAGAAAATGACGATTTCATGAATTGATCCGCCATCTTGACTGTATGAATGCAATCAGTATTCGCTATCATCATTCACTTGAACATGTTAAACACCTTTGATTACGCAGTCACAGTATAATTTCTCTTCTACCCCAGGGCCTCTTGTCAGTCGATGTAGCCCCGCTGCTTGCGCTCCACTGTTAGGGAGGGAGAGTAGAATGATGCCAATGATGATTGATCAACCATTACAGTATAGTAGGGTACTGCATTTAACCTAATTAATGTTAACTTGATTGAAAATGATGGTGATGCACAAATAAGAAAATGATTGCATCCGTACTCCAGTCGTACCCATCCATACAGTACTGTACTGTACAGCGCAGCTTGCAGCCAGTCGATACAGTTTAGTCGCTGTTGATCCGTCCACTCCCACAGTAGTCGATTACTTTATTGCTGCATGCTTATTGATTTACAATGCAGACATTGTTATTTCGGCCGATATCAATGTAAACAATAACAAGTCTTACAGTACAGTATACTAAAAGAATAAAGAGTGTGTCCTAGGCGGCTGCACGGTATCAGATTATGACGCATTTTGAGATAGTGCTGTCTCATTGAAATAGGGATTAAACAAATAGGCAGCAGGGTACTACAGTTTAGCCCATATGAAATTTCATAGTATCGCGCTGCATAAAACAGC